ACAGCTGGAGACCATGCCCCTGTGGCTTGATTAGGGAGCATGTCAACACAGGTGGCACTCCTGAGGAGAAGGAGCACTTGTCCTGCAGCAGAGCCTGGCACTCTGTGCTGATGTGGTCTCAGAGGACATGCGTCTGCCTGCCACTCATTCACCTGCTCCTGGGCCTGGTAAGGTTTCTATTGGTAGCCTCCTGGACACAGATGATGCCTGCCGAGGGCTGCACCAGCCCTCCACCCACACGGTCCTGCCTCACCCACCCACCCGCTGGCTGTGTGGCCACCAGCCCTGGCTTGGCAAGTTTCTCTCCTGACCCCAGCCTGAGGCTCACATTGTAAGGCTCCTCTGGCCTGCCTGTGGGGACGGCCAGCCTGGCCTGGGAATTCCCCAGAGAGCCTGAGGGCCCTGAGTCCACCTTGGGGTGGGGCCCGTGGGGCCCGTGGGGCCCCAGAGGAAGTCTGAGGTCCCATGACCGTCAGTGGTGCCTCCTCGCGGCTCTGCAGGCTCATTCCTCAGCTGTGACTCACGGTTGTGTCCAGGCTGGCCCTGCAGAGCTCGGGGAGGAAGACCTCAGTGCTGGCCCTGTCCCCACATGTGTGGCCCCAGGCAGGAACCTGGCTGTCTTCAGCCGCTCAGTCTTTCTGTCCTAAGGGGCTAGACCTGCATGCCCGCATGGGAAGCCCCTCCCCAGCCTGAGAAGGCCCTGCAGCGCCCGCCCRAGGTCCTGGCTCCCTTCCCTGGAAGTCTGGGACCTGGGGTTGACGGCCTGCTGTGGGCTGCACCCCCTCCACGGCCCTCCACCAGACACTCAGTGCAGTTCTCAAGTGGAGTGTGTCGCCTTGGAGTGGAGCTGTGGGTCAGGCTGCAGGTCAGGGAAGAACGTGCCACCTTCTGTTCTTGTCGACAGTTGTCCCCCTGCATCAGTGTGTGACAGTGCCGGATGCACAGTGCCCACACCACATGTAGCCCATGGAGTGCTCGCCTTCTTGCTGGCAGGCCTCCTGGCCCCATATTGCCAGTGGCAGCCTGGTGATGGACAGGTGGAAACAGCCCTGGTTAGGTGCAGTTTGCCTGTGGCCGGGTCCACAGTGGGACCACCAATGCTTGTTGAGCTGGATGGAAAAGAATCAGGGCCCCCAAACAGCCTGGCCTTGCTGGAACACCTGTYCGGTGCCCTAGGGTCCTCTGAGGGCATGAGACCCCTCTGTGCCCGTGGCGGGGGGACGTGGGGAGGTACAAGGCCCCAGCCTGACCCAGGCAGCTGAGGGCTTAGCTGTCCTGAGAGGTGGGGCAGAGGCTGGCACTGTGAGGGGCAGCACAGTCCTCAAGGGCAGGTGGGTGTGATTAGATCCAGTCATGCTCTGACCTGGGGCAGCCCCACCATTGTCCAAGGTCTGTGGAAATTGGAGCCCGATGCCTGAACTCCTAAAGGCCTGCATGTGCTTCGTCATCCTCAGTGAAGGGAACTCACTAGCACTCACAGGTGCCCACACCATTTGGGGCCTGTTAGAGGTGAGTGGTTCCTATGATGTGGGGATCCTGGGAGATAGACATGGTCCCTTAAGACAGCCGGGCTGGGGGCTGAGGAGGGGTGCTGGGGAGGGCAGAGGGGCTGGCAGGAGGCGCTCTGTGTGCTTGTATACTCACACACGTGTGCAAGTGTGTGTCTGTGTGCTCCTGTGAAGTTCCAGGAGCAGGATCAGATGTGGCCTGGAGGGAGTGAGTCCAGGGCCATGAAGGGAGGGCTCTGTGAGGTGAGGTTCCAGCATGGTCCCAGCAGGAAGCTGGGTGCCCACTGGGCTGCTTGTCAATCAGGAGCGGGCTTAATGCCTGGTTCCCTGCAGGTGTTGGAGCCATGGAGATGTTTTGCAGGCCACCTTTGTCATGGGGGGTTGGGGGCGGGTCTCCAGGGCACTTGATGTCCTTCGCTCACTCACTCAGTGTCTTGTGCTTCTCTAGTCCAGCCACAAGGAGGACAAAGGCCAACAAGGCCAGCCTGTCCTGCCAACTGCGCAGGGAGGCCTGTCTCTGGGGCTCACAGCTCACTGCAGCCTTGCTCCAAGGTGCTGAGACTGGGGGCCAAACACCGCAGGACCCAGCGCAGGCAATCCCTTCCCCACCGACCTGCATACTGAGTCACCTGCCACATTCGGCAGGGCTCCTGGTCAGCAGGTCTCAGCCACCTGCTGCCAGGCGGCACCCCCAGTGGCCCTCCAGGCAGGGCAGGCTTCAAGGCAGCCAGGACACTGCCCTCACAAGAATGGGAGCCAGCATGGCTCTCTCTAACAGAGCTTCCTGCCCCATGTGCCCAAGAGAGGTGGCTCCCAGCTTGTCCATATCTTGGCCTGTCTGCCTGAAGACAGATGGTCGTGAGTTGAATTACCAAAAGATGCTGGAGTCCTCCCCGTCCCCATGCATAAGACCTTATTCAGAGACAGGGTCTTTGCACATGTGACCAGATCAGGATGAGCCTTACAGGGCCGGCTCTAATCCAATGACTGGCATCTCATAAAAAGGGGAAACCTGAACTCAGACCCCAGGGGAGACCACGCGAGGCACAGGGCCCAGGCTCCACAAGCCAAAGGCTTGAACTGCCAGGAGCTTTTGAGGCCTGGGCTATCCTCTCAAGGGCCCTGTCCACCTCTGTGCTAGACTCCTGACTCCAGAACTTACAGAGACGAGACTTCTGGGGTTCCCACTGCCATCCCTGGCACCGTGCCCCAGCAGCCTGGGACGCTCATGGAGACAGCATCCTAGATGGACAGAGCTGCAGGCTGGGGCTTGTGCCTGACTCCGAGGCCCAGTAGGATTATCAGAGCTTTGTCTGTGGTGACCCACAGCACATCTGTCCAGAGCTTGTAGGAAGCACCTCCCCCAATTCCTAGTGGCCCACTCCTCACACACATGTGAGCACCCGCCTCCCATCTCTAGGCGCTCCTAGGGTCAGGGAGGCACAGGTCTGCAAAGAGCCTCACCAGCCTCAGCTCTTCTTCCTGTTCCACAGATGGAGAGAAAGTCCAAGCCCAGGGCTCAGGGTCCTATCTACTTCCTTTGCCTGAGGTTCTGCCCGGGAGGCCACCCTAGGTCTTCCTGTTACCCTGCACAAACTACCCCAATTGCTTCCCAGAGTCTGCACTTAGAGACCTCCCTGGGGCCACTTTTGTTTTTGTTTTGCTGTACTCGGGTTGAGCCCAGGAGTGCTCTGCCACTGAGCTACGATCCTAGCCCATCTTATTTATTTTTTGAGGCTGATCTTGAATTCGTGTTCCTCTTGCCTCAGCCTCCTGAATAACTGGGGCCACAGGCACAGACCACCATGCCGACTCATTTTACTTTTTATTTTGAGATATGGTCTCACTAAATTGTTCAGGCCGGACTTGTGTTGAACTTGAGGTCCTTCTGCCTTGGCCTCTCAAGTCCCTGGGGTTACGGGCGTGCTCCATTGTGTTCAGCTTCGGGCTGTTTTTGAAACATCCTTGGACTTTATCAGTCCTTGACACCTTGCTGTGAGTGAATTTAAGCCTCTTTCCCCAAAAATGTGTTCAGTGAGGGGACAGAGGGAGAGTCTGGTGTCTGAAGGAGGGTCATGGGAGGGAGGGCAGCAGTGGCAGCTCAGCCTACCAGGTATTTTGTGTCCAGGGGAGGGGGCCTGAGCCTGAACTGTGGCATGAGGACAGCTCCCTTCTCCTCCCAGGTGCTGGGGAGAACAGTCCTGGGGGCTGCCAGGTGTCCAGGTGCCAGGGCCCTGCCTTCCTCTCAGCAGGGGTTCGGCAGGTGCTCATGAAACACCAGCAGCTACTTCTTTTTCTCTGGGACCTCAGGAGCCCCAGATGAGTCTTCCTGCTCCACAGGAGCGTAGGCACTGCCCAGACGTGCCTGAGGGGCCACGGCGCAGGGCTGCTAGCACAGGCAGGCAGCATGAGCTGTGGCGGGGGGACCTGTGCACACTGGCAGATCTGTAGCACTGGCTGGGTCTTGCAGACCTATTGTGTCCACCTGCTGCCACTGAGTGCACAGAGCTCTGGTGACATGGAAGTAGGACTCCCAGACAGTTTCTCAGGAATCCTGAGTCTGGTACAAGGTGCCGGGTCTGAGGTCAAGGACCTCTGTTCCCTGAGCATGTGCCTTGGGCTGGCTGCCTGACCCCTTCCTCACGGAGAGGCTCCAGGTACCTGGTGGCCTGGGGGCACTTTCTAGGAAGTGGGGTGCAAGCTCCCACACCATTGCATAATCTGAAACTACGGGCATGTTGCTACTGGCCTGGGCCTGATTCCCTGGACCCTGTAGGGAACAGAGCCCAGGCTCCTGGGGGTGAGGCCCAGCTGGCTTCCTGCTGAGCCATGCATGCTTACATGGCTCAGGGTAGAGGGAGACCCCCGCCTAGAGAGGGTGGCTCGATGTGGGCTGAGGGGCCACCTGACAAGCCACTGGCTGATTTGCCTGAGGCCTGCGAAGGCTGTGCTGTCTCCCAGCCCCGCTCTGACAACTGAGGGGGGGACTGAGGCTATGTGGCAATGCCCACGGTGGGAGCACCTCCACTGGATGCCATCCTGTGGCCTTGCTAGGGGTGACTGGCCCCAAATGCTCCAGACACCAGACCAGGGGAAGGGCAGAGCAGACCCTCTCGGCTTTCCCACCTGATCCCAGAGCCTTAAAGCTGCCATCTGGAGGGTGGACAGGCAGGGGCGGGTTGGACTCCAGGTTGGGAGCCAGGAGCGGCATGACCCCCTGGCTCCTCCTCCTTCTCTTGGTGCTGGTTCCCTCTGGTTTAACTGGGGTCTCTGTTGTGCACGTGGCAGGCTTGTGGTTACTGCTCATCCAGGGGAGCCTGGGCCACCTGGTCCTGGAGGACAGTGGCCCATCTAGCTGGGCCCATGGAAAGGGCTCCCCTCCAGCCCTGCCCCTGTGACATCCTGACCCCACCTGGGGCAGTTGTACCTTATTCCCCTCCCCAGGCTCTCTGGGCCCCATTTGGCCTCATCCCAGGCACCCTGCACACAGCACTCACAGGAAGCCAGCAGAGCTCCTCCCTTCCTTCCCGTGGCGGTGCAGACCTCAATGACTTGGCAGACACTGTGGCCTCTGCAGGTGAGACAGAGAAACTTGGTGGCGTCTCCCTGCGGGTGGGCGGTCAGCAGAGAGATGTTGTTGAGGTCAGGCCCTGCTGAGACAGGGCTTACCTCTGGGCTGCCTGGGCACGAGGGGTCATGCCCCATGACGACTCCTCTGTCAGTGGCATGCAGGCCTGGGCCTGCAAGAACAGCAACCTCAGTTCCCACGGGACAGCAGGTGGCTGCCCAAGGGTGGCAGGCTGGGCCAGCAACCAGGGGTGAGCACAACCAGCCCTGCTCTGAGGGCTTTCGACCTCACTTGGTTCCAGGGTGCTGTGTCTCTGGCCTCTTCCTGGAAGGCAATGGGGAGCACAGGCTGGCTGAAGTTCTGCTGATGCCCAGAACCCAGAGAGGGCCTCCCAGGCACAGAAACTGCACAGCAGATGGCAGAGGAGGTGGAACTCTGGTGTCTTCCACAAAAGCACCTGGAGGCCACTCTGCTCTTAAAGGTGTGCACGCTGGCCCAGCAACCAGGTACCTCGAGTTACAACCTGTGGGTCTTGGGCCTGCCTGGTCCACGTCATGCTCTAAAGCTCCGCAGAACACCCTCCCCTGAGAAGGACTGTCCAGAACAGAGATCTGCCTCTGGTCACCACCTGGGAACTGAGGGAGCAGGGAGGCACCTGTGAGCATGGCCACAGGGAGGTGATTCTGGTTGACCTGAGAGCATAGGCACCCTGTGGCCGTGAAGGTGGCCCCTCAGAGGTTCTGAGCAGCTGGCCCAAGGCCTGTGACCCAGGAACCCAGCCCCAGGCCAGCCAGAAATAGGAGCCTGGGGGGACATTTCAGAGGGAAGCGGCCTGGCCAGGGTCTTCTCAGTGGTTCTGTGCCCCCTACAAGAGGCTAGGAAAGCAGGGAAAGGACACCTGGGGCGGCACAGCCATAAGCAGCAGCTGCTGACTCAGACAGAGGAGGGCGGGTGCTCCCAGCGTCCTCACTGGGCACTGAGAACAGAACCAACACAGGCCTCTGCAGATGCTCAGAAACATTTAATTTTTTTTGAAAAGACAGCAATAATTTATGCCATGGACACAACAGGAGAGCCAACAGGTGTTTTCTGGCGTGACCCAGCTCCCAGCAGGCCACTGGTGGCCCCCCACGCTCTGCCACTGTCGGATGCAGTCTCTGCCTGGGAAGGATGCGGTCTGCTCTGGAAGGTGACTCTGGGCCGAGGCCAGGACCGGGCAGAGGAAGCCCCCACACTGCACGGGCCACCCTGCGTCTGTAGGCATAGCCTCGGCAGGCAGTCAGGGAGGGAGCGGTGTCTTCTCCTGGTTATCGCCAAATAAACCACAAGCCAGAGCCCCCGCTGGCAGCAGCCTGGGTTTGCCACCTCGGTTCCCTCGCAGGGGACACCAGCTGCCTCTGGTTCCCAGCACCCACTGCTCCTGCACTCCACACACTGATCCCTTACACGTTTTTTTTTAATCTTTTTTTTTAAAAATATAATTTTGTAAATGTTCCATAAAAATACTATTCTTGCTAGTCAAACACAGATATTGCAATATGAAGGTAACTGCTTCGTCTTTGCTCTATAAAACGTGAAAAGATTATCACATGGGATAAGATAGAAAAACGCTGGGGTTCTAAGTATCACAAAAGCCAGTACCAGGTGCGTATGTGGAAGCGAGCTGGATGCCCGACGGGCGGCGGGGCTCCTCCTCCCCGTTCCTGCTGGATGCCAGGCAGGCGGCCGGGCTCCTCCTCCCCGTTCCTGCAGCCGCACACCTCAGGGCACCCCGTGTTTCCCAGCAAGGAGGACATCGTGGCTTGGAAGAGACAGCGACTGCTCTAAGTCCCAGATGGCAGCACCTGCCCCTCAAAGCACCGAATGCCCAGCGCAGCTGGCCAGGACCCAGGCAGCCCTGCTGATGGCAAGGGGTAGCCAGCCAGGTCCAGCCCTAGAGGCTCTTGGATGAGCCCTCCTCGTGCAGGAGATCCCACTTGGCCCGGTGAGGTGTGCTCCTGGGCAGGTGTGGGGGCAGGAGGGCAACAGCCCTGTTCCTTGAGGCGGGAGGGCGTCCTGGACCCCAGGCTAGGGGCAGGTGGCTGGCTGCACCTTCAGTTCTCAGAGAGGGACAGAGCCAGGGCGGCCTGGAAGGCAGCTTCTTCATCGATGCTGTAGTCCTGGAAACAGCAAATGGAGATGGGCAAGGTCACAAGAGCCCAGCTGACCCCTGCAGAGCTGGGCTACCTCCTGGTCCCAGCTGCCCCACACAGACTCGCTCCATTGCTTCCGGTCTCCCTGATCAYGGCTCACAGCACAGGACACCTGTCTGCCTTCCCTAGTTCTGCACTTAAGCTGGAGGGCGGCCTGGCCTCTTGCAGACACTGCATACCCTGACCGTGCTCCAGGGTGGATGCACGCATGGGAGTGCTGTTCTTGCCTCCGACTGTAAGAACTGGGGTTTTGAGATGACAGGCAAGCCAGAAGGCTCCGAGACCTCCAGCAGTGGGCCGGAGTCGGCAGGAGTCTTGGGTGGCTGGAGGCCGGCAGGGTGGGAGATGGAGTAAACAGAGAGGAGGGGCTGCCCGAGGAGAGAAGAGGTGTGAGGGGTCCACAGGCCTGGGGGGGCTCCCTTCCAGACCCACTGCAGAGGAAGACAGAGCAGAGCACGGGGGAGGAGTCCTCTAGCTCCCCTCCAGAAACGCCTGGGAAGCCTGGCCCACCAAGGGTGCTCTGTCCCCCAGGTGCCGCCTCAGGGACACTAGAGCACCTGTGGCTGCTCTGGTGCCTAGTGTCCTCTAGTGGCCCCTGTGCCTGTCCTGTTCCAATGGGCCCCTCAGGTTTTGTTCTGGCCTCCTTGGGACACTTGGGCCCTAAAGCTGGCTGGGTCGAGCAGGAGGAGGGAGGGGTGTGGGCAGGGCACCCACCACGAAGGTGTCATAGGAAAACTTGTGCCGGTGCAGCAGGTGCTGGAGGAAGTTGGCGCTCTTGTAGCTGGGGTCGCCCCAGGGCATGGCGGAGCAGATGGGGCACACCTGGAACAAAGGGGCCAGTGTGTGGCCAGGGCTTCCCACAGGGAACTCGACCTCCACTGCCCAGGGACACATGGGGGCTCATGAGGGTTCACTGTGGCACTCACTGCACCCCAAGACTGACACGCCACCACCCTGGGATCCTGGAAGGCCCTGGGCAGCTGGGCACCACAGGCAGTCCCCGCCCACGGCCTCCCAGTGGGCGCTCACCACACGGTGGGGGTCACTGCGGTGGCTCTCAACACAGTGCTTCACCAACTCCTGCTGGTCCAGGTTGCGGGCGCCGCAGTAGGGGCAGGCGAAGGTAGACCTGTTTGGGATGTTGCTGGTGGAGCAGGAGGACAGTGAGCAACTGTGGGGTCAGGGAGCAAAGGGCACTGCCACCCTGCCCTCTGCTCTGTGGACTCCAGACAGGAGTCAACTGCTGCATGGCTGCAGGAGCATCGTGGTTGGCAGGCAGGAGGCAGAGCTGGAGCCCTGAAGACCACCAGCCCACACCTGCCCACACATCTGCACTCGGGTCTGACTGCTGAGAACCGCACAGGGAACCACCTCCCTCTCCCCCACCCCGGCTCAGTGGGGGTGGGGGTGTGGCCAATGAGGAGACCCTGTGCTGCCCACCCTGGGAGGTGCCATCTCTTAGTCCATCCCCCCGCCTGGTGTGGGTCCCCATCTTGGCTCCCACACCTGAGCTGTCCCCATCTATGAGTGGCATGGCTTCCCTAGAGTCACTTGCCCGCTGAGCACCCCCAACCTGCTCAGAGATGGAAAGGAGGGGAGGCTTCCCACCTGGGGATGGGCTGGGACGTGGGTACCACAGGGACGAACTTGGGGCAGTTGGCCATCTGCTCCTGGACCTTCAGGCAGGAGGAAATGTGCACTCTCATCTTCGCCAGGGTGACCTAGGAGACAGGCAGGGAGGTGAGGCTGGCTCAGTCTGCAGCCGTGGCCACGCCTTCTGCTCCTAGGAGACCTGGAGGCCCTAGCAGCTGCATTCCAGCAAGGGGAAGGGGCATACCTGCTGAGGGAACCAACTGGAGACACCCCAACAGGTCACCTCTGCTGGAGGGAGCACCCCAGCAGGACACCCCTTCCAGCTGGCCAATTCCAGTCGCCTTGCCCTAGCACCTCAGTCTCCCCTGGCAACTGGACAAGGTGGCAGGCTCTGCAGCCTGAAGCCTCCCCTCCCGCCCTGCCCCAGGAGGTCAAGTGCTCTGCCCCCAGAGGTCAAGCGTATACCTTTTTGTGGCAGCCCCGGCAAGGTGCCTTGTAGGAGGACAGCTGCTTCTCCACATGTGCAGCCTTGTCCACTTTCTTTGGGTCAAAGGGCAGGCGGCAGAGCGGGCATAGGGGGGATGGCACCTGCAGGCACGGCTGGAGGCACTCCCCACAGAACCTGCAGGGGACATGGGCCTGAGGGCTGGTGGCCAGCATGGGCCTCATGGAGGCCACTTCTCACGCACTAGCACACAGGACTCGCTGTTCAAACATTCCTGGAGATGGCTATGCCCATGCCCAAGGCCCACCAGAAGGATGGGCACCATCTGGCTAAAAGATGAGCAGGGTCCCCTCCCAGCAATGGGGCTGCTGTGTTCTGAGGCTGGGCAGAGTCACGGCTTCAGCCTCCAGCACACATGGCCCCACAGGAGGGGGAGGTTCTGTCCCACGGGCTCCTAGTCACGGTGACAACAGAACCTCAGAGGGCAGGGGACAGCCTAGGAGCACAGAGAGTAAAATCACTAACAATTGTGGGAAGGGCCCTGGACTCACTGGACAGCACAGAGCTGAAGCTGGCCAGTTTGTCAACTGTGGACAGCTTCCTCGGCAGGAGGGGCTCAGTGACAGGAAGGGCTGTACTTGGGCTAGCTCAGGTACTGGACACACACTCAAGGCAGAGGTCCCCTGTGGCCCCTGAGCTCTAGCCAACATCACCTGGAGAGACTGTCCAGAGCCCTGCTTGCTGGCAGCAAGGGCCTGGCCTGGCCTGGCCTGCCCACACTCCAGCCTGCGCTCACACCACTTCCACCTGCCGCTTGCCAGTAGGGGGCGCCAGCTGCACAGGATGACCTCAGCACAGCTTCACTGTGGGGACAGCCMGCTCAACAAAACTCCTGAACACAAGGACACAGACTCCAGCCCTGAGGACGGAGCTCAGTTGGAGGAGGCAGAGCTGGCCCAGCTCCAACAGAAAGATGGAGAATTTGCAGACTGCAGGAAGTTCCCTGCACGCTGAGCAGGCTGGCCATGGGGTAAGGACGGGGAAGCCAGGCTGGACGGAGGGGATGTGGGAACGGTCCTGAATTTAGAGATGACTCAGTTAAGGTTAAGGCCAGAGTTCCTCACATGATCTCATCCCCTCTCAAGAGAAGGTCCTTCTTGTGGTGCCCAGAGCTTGAGGCACCTTCGTCCCTCTTCCTGCCCTCTGCCATCTGGCTAGTCGGATTATCCTGCACCTGAAAGGGGCCAGACTCATCCCAAGACCTAAGGACTTCCAGGACACACAAGTTCCTATGAGCCTTTCCTGCAGAGTAGAGGGCCTCAGTCACTTCCTCCGAGTGGGGTGGGGGTCTTGCCAGCACCACGTATCACCCCAGTGCTGTCCCTGGCCCCAGGGTTTGGTGAGCCTGAGGAAGGGGCTGGCAAGGCCAGGCACAAGGTGTTCATGGAGGCAGACAGTGGCAGCATCCAGCTGTCCAACAGCGTGTGGATGTGACACTGGTGGAGGAAACGTGAGAGCAGCAAAGCAGCGACATACATGGGCCTGCTCGGGCCTCACCTGCTCAAGGCAGAGGTCCCCTGTGGCCCCTGAGCTCTAGCCAAGGGCGACACCAAGGCCATGTGCTGTGGATGGGGCTGCCATACGAAGTTCCAGCAGACACACCTAATGATGGAGGCAGACCTGCAGGGKCCAGGGCTGGGGAGGACAGTGTGCACTGGGCTCCTTTCCAGGGCGGAGTGTTCTACACCATGGGGAGTTTGTGCGACTGTGTGAACGCATTGGCTTCCATCTCAGTGGAATCCTTACTACCCATAGCAGGCAGGGCCACATGAAAAGGTCAGGCTGAGTCGCAGCCACTTCTTCCAGAAGGCAGCATGCCCTGTACTCCTGTGCAGGATGCAAGAAAGCTCAGGAGGAACCTGATCCACCTGCAGGGTGACTCCTGAGTCACAGCCCTTTAGGAGCAGAAAGCAGACTAGAACACTCACAGATAAGGCACAGCTCTTGACCAGGTGTGCAGTGACTACCACCCTGGCACACTGTGGGCCAGCAGCCGCAAGCAGCAGCTTCCCCCACAGAAAGTCCCCCTGCGTCTGCTTAGGGTCTTCTGCAGCCCAGTGAGGTGGCTRAGAATGGTGGGAGTGGGGCCAACTTGCCTAGCACTCGGGACTGCCCAGGATGGGCTGCAGGTCAAATGGCACCAACCAATGTCACTTTGCCCTGGGCTCCTGTACACACCAGGGAGCTAGGAAGGGCCAGTTTCAGAGATCCACAAGGCTATCAGGCCTGTCTTCTCAGGCCAGCCTGACAGCTGTCCCACTGCAGGCTGCCTCACAAAGGCTTCCTGGGCAGCCTCATGGTTGTGTGTGTCCTGGCCCACTTGCTTCTGGACTGGATATGGCTCACACCCTAGGCTGTTCCTTAGGCAGTAGGCAATAGCTCCTTTGGGGCCCTGAGGCCATGTCTGCGAGCTGCTCCATTGAGGTTCCTCTCGCCCAAAGCTCAGGCTTGAAGACTCCCCTACCATCACCTCCTCTGCCTCCAGGCAGGGCCCCTCTCACCACAGGGAAGCCAGTCTTCAGAAGGGAAATGGCTCTGGAGCTCATGGCAAGGAAAGAATCAGACCATCAGTGAACTTTTAACAAGGGGTCAGGATGTGCCCTTAAACCTTCTGTGTTCATCTGCACACCTCTCTCAGTTGCACCTGACAGACAAAGGAAGTCAGAGGCAGGCAACAGCCAGGAAATGAAGCCAGCAAAGTGGGAGGAAATCTTTTCAAGGCAGAGGCCACACAAAGGGTTCTTAAGGATCAGCAATGAGAAGAGCTGACAAGAAAGATGCTTCTCAGTCCCATGGAGTCTCCATCCTGTCATGCAGCTCTCATTTTAAGAAAAGACCAATTTTGGAAAAGAGAAAGGGAAAATACTGATTTGTACAGATTGAGAAACCAAAAGGCTGTGGCCCACATCACGGTGAAGGTGCTGGTTCCAGGGAGACACTGCACCAAACCTATAAAGGGTTTCCAAAATGCAGACAAGCCTCACAGTCCTCTCAACCAGAGTCTGGAAGATGCAGAAGACAACACACCTACTAGCGTGTGCTCACAAGAAACAAGTCTCTATCCGAGCCTGTCCTGCCAAAATGTCACAGCCAAGCAACTGAGTAGGAGCAGGGCACCACTCTCTGGTATAAGCAAGTGTCTGTGCTGCCTGACACCAGGGGGCAGGAACGTGAGGCAGCTCTGGATCCTGACACCATCCTCATCCTTGGATGACAAGCAGGCACACACGCCCACCCAGCAGTTCCAGTTCCCTCTCTGCAGCAGGAGCCTCCAGACAGCTGCCTTTGTTTGCAAAATGTTCTAGGGCTTCCTACCATGCTGGGTGCACCTTGCCCACCCCCACTCCCTGGAACCAGCACCCAGCTTCCTCAGCAGCATGGCCACTGCTGGGAAGCCCTCCAGCCCTCTCTCCCCATCCCCGGAATCGCTCCAGAGCTGTATCATGCAGCACTTAGGGGAGGCAGGAGCGCACACTCATGTTGACTCCTTCCCAACCGGGCTGGAGCTTCAGAGGTCTTGGACTTGAGCACAGCTCTGGGCCGGGGGGAGCTACATGCTCCAGGTTCAGTTCCTGAAACGCTGGAAACCCCTGCAGGATGCCTGGGGTCCGGTCCCCTCCGTGCCGGCCTGCATTCTGGCGTGACCCCAGTCCTTCAAAACAAAACAGCACCAGGCTCCAAACGGGCCCCCCCAACTGAAGGGCACTCCTTTCCTCTGTCGTCAGAGCGAGCGGACAGCGGGTGGACAAACAGTTGACAGCACACGCCACAAGTCATTTATTTGCGTTGCCCGCCCGTCTGCACACCTCGGGGCCCCGCGCGGCGGCGGCGGCGGCCTCTGAGCACCCGGGGCTCGGGCGGCGGTGGCGCGGCCCTGACGCCCGCAGGCCGCCGCCGCGCCCGGCCGTCCCCCTCCCGCGGCTCCCGGCGCGCGCTCACGTGTGGCCGCAGCCGCCGATGGCCACGGGCCGGTGGTACACCTCCAGGCAGATGGGGCAGCTGAACTGCGCCTCCAGGCCGCTGTCGCCGCCCGCGGGCCCGGCCGGCGGCTGCCGCTGCTGCGCCGAGGCCACCAGGCTGCGGAACATCGCCATCCCGGGCCAGGCCGCCGCCGCCGCCGCCGCCCCCCCCCCGCCCTGGCCGGCCGGGCCCGCGTCACCGCCGCGCCGGCGCCGCGTGACGTCACGGGGAGCGCCCGCCACGGTCCCCGGAGACGTCATCGGGGCGCGCCCGCCTGGCCGCCGGCGCTCGGGAGGCGGCGGGCGCAGCCATGTGCCAGGCGGGCGAGCACTACGCGGAGCCGGCGCCCCGGGAGCCCCCGCCGGCGCCCAGGCCGGGGTGAGAGCCGCGGGCGGCTCGGACGAGCCCTCGCGTCCCCTGCGGGCGGAGCGGGAGGCCCCCGGCCCGGGCCGGCCTCGGGGGCAGCCGGGAGGGAGCGCGCGCCGGTGCCTGGCCCCGCGCGGGGCGGGAGCGGGCGACCGTGCGACCGTGCGACCGTGCGACCGTGCTCTCTCTGGTTCTCCCAAGCCGGGCGCAGAAGTGCGTGAAGTGCCGGGAAGGCCTGCCGGTGGTGGTGATCCGAGCGGGCGACGCCTTCTGCCGGTGAGCCGCGCGAGCCCGCCGTCGCTGCCCCGAGTGGCCCTGGGGCCTGTCGTGGAAGTGGGGCGCCACTGCCAGGGGGCTGGGCGGTCCCGGAGGGCACCTGTGGGGAGCGTGGAGAGCGGGCGGCGGCGACCAGGGGCGGGGGTCAGAGTWGGAGGGAGAGCTCCGGCCTCCCCCGGCCGCTGGACCGAAGCCTGGGCTTCTCCCGAGGGCCCGGGGCTCGGGTACCTCCCGTGGTGTCTGTGACTCTGGCCAGTGACAGCTTGGTGTTCCCGTTTTCCCTAGGTTGTAGCTCCCAGGGTTAGGGTTAGAGCTCTCCTGTGTTAGCCCTCTCATTCTTCGGGCGGTGTGCCTTATTTTGTATAGCATGTTTATTGGGGGAGTTACCTCATGTCTTTAAGTTGGCCCCCAGAAATCTTGGGCTTTATTTTTTAAAAAAATGTGACAATTAATATGAATGATTATACAAGATATACTACTTAAAAATATAAATATATATGCAACATAGTAGATGTAATTTTCTATTATGATTTATTTTTATTGCTATTTTTTCTTATGGGGCTTTTTTTTTTTTTTTAGCCAGGATTGAATTCAGGGACTTCTAACTACTGAGACAAACCCCCAGCCTTATTTATTTATTTATTTATTTTGAGACAGGGTCTTGCCAAATTGCTTAGGGCCTCCTCAAATTGCTGGGCCTGGCTTTGAACCCGAAATCCTCCTGCCTCAGCTTCCTGAATCACTAGGATTACAGGTGTGTGCCACCACGCCTGGCTACTGGGAGGCTGCTTTTAAAAATGTTCCTGGGAGAGGAAGAGAAGTAAAGAGATTATTTTCCAAACACTTCCTCATTCCTAACCATCCTATATGTGTGGTCTTGAGAAGGGGTGGGAGGCCAGCTCTCCTGGTGCAAGTTTTGAGAATCTAGGTTTTGAGTGAGGCGCTCTAGTGACTCAGACCAGGCATGTGTAGAAACTCTGGCCTTTCCTGGCCCCTGGGAGAGTGGTTTTGTGAGTGCAAAGCCCTTGTTCACAGGAACCCACCACACTGGAACCCAGCTGGCAAAGCAGGGAATGAATGGCAGGGTTCTCCTCACCCTTGCCTCCTCATGATCAGACTGTCCTCACTGAGCTGCACCCTGGGAAGTCACTTTCTGTGTCCAGGCACTGGACTGGACCCTGGGCTCATCATTTTACCTTGAAATACTGAGCTGCTGTGGGGTAGAAATGTTGGCTCCTGTACCAAGTGCTCATTCGGTGTTGGGAGGCATTGCCATGGACACGGGGTGTTTCTGACAGGAAGGAAGCAGACCTGGGGCACAGGCAGCCTCTCACAGAAGCCTTGCTCCCCTTGTATCCAGCAGTGCTCTACCCTGGCTGCATGCCAGGGATGCCAGAGTTTTGTTTCTTTGTGGTGCGGAGGGTCAGACCCAGAGCCTTGTGCATGCTAGGCAAACTGAGCTACAACCCCAGAAAAACTTTTAAAATGGAAACTGCTGGGCTTGGGCCTGGGAATCTGACTCAAGTCAGGGAGGGGTCCAGGAGCCAGCTGGAATGCTTTTGAGGGCACAACCTCTTGTGCCCTGCTGGAAGTTCTGCTCTGGGTACTGGAGACCCCAGGCTTCTATTTGTTTGTGCTTCAGGGCCATTCATGCTTCAGTGGGCTTGGCATGCTGGAGTCTCTGGTGGGTGGGCCTGGAGACCCCGAATGTTAGGCACTCTGCAATTTATACAGTGCTCCCCTCTCCCCCTGACATTACTCCAGGGGTTGCGCTGCTGCCTGAAGGGCTCAAAACCAGGTTGTCAGCTTGTTTCTTCTGAGTTGCTTCTGGCGGGCCTATTGTTGAAGTGGAGGCACCACTGCCCTGGGGCTGGAAGGTCTCTGAGGGAGCTTATTGGGAGAGTTGAGAGCAGGACTTAGGCCCTGCCCCATCTCTTCTGCCAAAAGCCTTCCTGAGCACTCATGGGGTGTTAGATGCAGCCCCGTGCCCTGTGTCGCTCACACCTGCTGGGGTCTGGATGGGACTAAGAACCTTAGTGCCCCCTGGGGAAGCCCTTTTGCCAGGTGCTGGTAGAGCCTCTCTGTGCAGATGCTGCTCCTAAAAGGCTGAGTAACCCAGTGGGGCCCCAGGTTGCTGCCTGTGCTGAGTGTCTGTCTTGCAGGGACTGCTTCAAGGCCCTCTACGTGCACAAGTTCAGAGCCATGCTGGGGAAGAATCGGCTCATCTTTCCTGGTGAAAAGGTAGATCTGGGGCCCTGCTCTCAACACCTGGTTGGTGCCTCTTCTGCAGGCAGCCTCTCCCCACTGTAGCCCATCTGGGCTTTGAGGGTGGACTTGGTATCTGGGGCTACCCACGGGTGTGGGGGCACATGGTGTTGAAAGCACGTGTCCTGGCTAATATTTCTTCTCCCCAGGTGCTCTTGGCATGGTCTGGGGGTCCTTCATCCAGCTCCATGGTCTGGCAGGTACTTGAGGTGGGTCTATACTACCCTCTAGGCCAGGCTGCTTGGGCCCAGCTGGGGTGGGGAGCCTTCCCTCTCAGCCAGCACTGAAGGGCACTTGGTTGGCACTAGGAAGCATCACAACCCCCAGCTGGGATGTGTGTACAGCAGGTACACAAACCAGAGGACGTGTGTAGGCAGAGAGGCAGCACATGCAGGAGGGACAGAGGGAGTGGGTGGGACTTGAGTTGCCAACCTGGACTACAGGAGTACCTGAGGGCTCCCCTAGGGCTCGGGGCCTCGGCAGAGGGGAGGGCATGCACACTTCCTCCACGCTTCCTGGGGGGCAAAGCTTCATGGGGCTGGTGAGGAGGCATTAGCCACTGGGATGGAGTGGGGGTGTCAGCCTGGCTAAGGGCACTGGCCCAGATAGGCCCCTGCCTGCAGGGTGATGAGATAAGCCCCTCCTGAGGCTGTTTTGTAGCATCTGGCACTGCTCCTTCCATGCCCACAATGCCCCCACCTCCAGTGCCTTGTTGCCTCTGTTCTTACTGCAAGAGTGTTTTCTGAGTGGTCCAAGGTGCCCAGGCAGGTGGCCCCTGTGGACCTAGCTGCTGGTCTCAGAGGTTCCTGGGACATCAAGGAGACTGGTGAAAGCAGGTTCTGAGGCTTCTACAGACAGGTGTATTTTTCACTGGGGAAGAAAGACCTGTGGCCCACTCCTCAGCAAGGGCAGAGCCTCACCCACAGGGTCTGCCTGGCCCAAGTCTGAGTGCCTTTGTTTACTAAAAGGGGGGCTCTTTCCTCCTTTTGGGTTGGCTTTAAAGCCAGAGAAATATTCTTTGCCGGAAAATATCCCATGGGTTCTGGCCAGGGTCTGAGTTCCCAATCCTGACTTCTTTCTCCAGGGCCTGAGTCAGGATTCTGCCAAAAGACTACGTTTTGTGCCAGGGGTTGTCTACGTTGACGGTACGTGGGGTCAGGCCCCAACTGGGACCTTTTCCTGAAGGAGACTATGCATTGGACAGCACCCTTGTCCTGGGGTCTCAGACTGTGTTGGAAAGTTGGTGGGGTGTGGGGACAGGAGCACCTGCCTGGCCCCATCATGGGTCCAGTAGCTAAAAAGGGCGAGTTTGGTACTGGTGCCAAGGGGTGGGTGTGGAGGTCTGGGACATCTCTAGCCACTATATGGGAACCCACTGCCTGCTCTGAAGATGGCCCCAGAGGAAAGCGGTGGGCACCTGCCATCCCCCCAGAAGCTACTGCCCTTCAGAGTGCAGCCTGGCAGGAAGTTCTTCATGGAGTCAGCCCCTTAGCCTGCTCTGCTCAGGCTTTTCCTCTGCAAGCCCTAACCCCTCTTGCCTGGGATCTGCAGAGGGAGCAGCCTGTGGTCAGAGCCCAGAGGACAGAGCAAAGACTCTGGCTGAGGTGAAGTCAGTCCTACAGAACATCGGCTTTCCGTGGCACACAGTTGCTTTGGAAGAGGTGAAAGGCCTGGGAGGCGACTGTTGGGGTGCCACAGGGCCACATGCCTGCTTGCTGGGGCAGCCCTGGAACTTAGCTCCCCACTGGTGTTGGAGGGCAGGTGCGCGCTTTGCCTCACCACGCTCTCCTGTGTTCTGGAAGGTGTTTGGCCTGCCACCAGCAGTGCTGCAGGGCTCTGCCCAGGAGCCAGTGGGGACGGAGGAGGCCTACAAGTCTGCTGTGGACAGCTTCCTCCAGCAGCAGCATGTGCTGGGTGGGGAACAGACACACCAGCCCCACACCCAGGACTCCCCGGGGCCCTGCAGCCTGGGCAGGTCCCCCACAGCCACCCAGACTGCGGCCCTCTGCAGACTGTTTGACTCTGTGAGGACGCTCACAGCCAAGGAGGAGCTGCTTCAGACCCTGCGGTGAGCCACCCCCAGGGGCCCTGCCCTTTGAGACCTCCATTGTCTGCAACCCTCTGCCTCTGCCATAGGACCCACCTCATCCTGCATGTGGCCCGAGTCCATGGCTACTCCAAGGTGATGACCGGTGATAGCTGCACTCGCTTGGCCATTAAGCTCATGACCAATCTGGCCCTGGGGAGAGGGGCCTTCCTGGCTTGGGACACGGTATGTAGGACCTGGACACGGGGTACCCCTCCCCACACTTATCCCTTGGCTTCCTGCGCAGGATCATTTGTTGGTCCTGGGGACTCTCACATGGAAGAGGGTCCTGGGACCTACCTGCAGGCGCGGTCAGCCTGACTGCATCCACCCTTAGGGCTTCTCGGACGAGCGGCATGGGGATGTGGTGGTGGTGCGCCCCATGCGAGACCACACGCTGAAGGAGGTTGCCTTCTACAACCGCCTGTTTGCTGTCCCCTCTATCTTCACACCAGCCATTGACACCAAGGTGGGCCCACCAGGTTAGCTGCAGGGGTGGGAGTGGCCTCCTCTGGGCTGACACTGGGGCCTCAGTACTTGCCACCTGCCTCTGGTAGTGCCAATAGTAGGGTCCTCTGGGCACACCTGCTCCTTGGAGGGGTAACTGGTACCCTGTCCCGACTCTGAGGGGAATGATGGGGTGGCCCTTTGGAAGTGGGTTCTGTGCTGCTTTCCCCAGAAAGGGTAGACCCAAGGGCTGGCAGTGTGGAGCCACTCCAGGGGACCTTGGTCTCAGCCTGAGGGCTGCCCCTCTGCACTAGGGCCCTCCCTTAGCCCTATCCAATTTCCCTAGGCCCCTGAGAAGGCCAGCATCCACCGGCTGATGGAGGCCTTCATCCTGAGGCTGCAGACCCAGTTCCCCTCGACCATCAGCACTGTGTACAGGTAGGTGTGAAGGGGCACTCTGCTTGGGAGGGCACAGAGCCCCTGGTCAGGGCCCCCATGTGACCACTCGCTGCCCTCTTGCAGGACAAGTGAGAAGCTGGTAAAGGCCCCCCGGGAGGGCTGTGCTGCCGGCCCCACAGGGCCCCGCTGTCTCCTGTGCTTGTGTGCGCTGGACGTTGACACTGATGGTCTGCACCTGGGGGTGCTGGGTTGGGGAGGGAGTGGGTGTGGGTTCAGGAGCTCCAGGTTCCCTCTGCTTACAGACAGTGCCACAGCTTTTGGAGCTCAGACCTCGCGTCTCTCCCAGACACTGCTGTCCACCCCGCCAACTGAGGCTGGGACAACCACAGGGCCTGGCTGCGTTGCAGGGGAGGGCCAGGCCTGCTGCAGGGCAGCCTGCAAGTGAGTCCTTGCTCCATCTGTGACCAGCTGGGGTCTGGGGGACCATGGCCTAGGGCAGCACCAGGACCAGGCACACAGCTCAGCTATGTCCACAGGAAGGGTGTCCAGGCCCAGGTCATGGAACAGCTATGCTATGGCTGCCGGGTGAACATGAAGGACCTGGTGAGTAGGGCCGCCCTGCACCACTAGAGCCCTTGCTCCCAGGTGTCAGGTGGGCTGGGGCACAGCTCCTCACCTACACGGCTTCTATCGCAGCCTTCTCTGGACCCTCTGCCCCCCTACATCCTGGCCGAGGCCCAGCTCCGCAGCCAGAGGTACTGATGACCCCTCTGCTGGAAGACTCCTGGTGGGTGGGAGCCCTTTGGGGTGGGTTCCCACTGCACACTTCCCCAGGGACTGGGTCATGCCGGAGGTCCAGGAGTACCTGATCGAGGACAGTGACTCTGAGGTAGAAGATGCGCTCGCCCAGCCCCCAGGAGCAAGGCTGACCACACAGGAGCAGGGAGGCGAGAATACAGGGACTGGCCTGTGACTGTCCATGTGTATAAATAAAAATGTTTTTAATTAGAAAACTCTACAGTACGCATGGGGAAGGGAGGGCCAGGCCCCCAGGCTCGGTGTGGCCAGTCCTGGGCCCACAGGGGACATAGCATCCTTCTGACAGCAGCATCAGGGCTCAGGTGGCCAGGGAGGACGTGTCACAGCTCATGGCCCTGACTGGGGACAGCTGTGCCCCTGGCCCAAGGAGCACCACTGGCCCTGGTGGTGGCCCTGCTGCCCGTGGGGCGGTGCCTTCATTCCCGGTGCCAGGAGCCAGGCTCCTACTCCTTCTCGCGCGTCCACTTGATCATGGTCTCTGGGGAGCGGTACAGGAAGATGAGCTTGGCGTACAGCTCCTCCTCCAGCTCCAGTTCACGGGTCTCGCGCACCAGGAAGATGTCCTGGCACAGCTTGAGGATGCGGTCCACAAAGGGCAGCTCCTCGAACATGATGGAGTGGGAGGCCTCGCTGAAGTAGCCCCTCACGAACTTGCCGATGACCAGCACGATGGACACGTACAGCCCCACGATCCTGCAGGGCGACCAGTGAGGCTGGGCTGCTGCCAGAGCCCCCCACCAGCATTGTGGGGTGTCCCCAGGCCCCTCACTCACCCGTAGCCAGCCAGGAAGCCCAGGCTGGGGGGGCTGACCTTGTCGCTGAAGATCACCATGGGCAGCAGGTTGCAGTCCGTGTGGCAGTCCTGCAGCTCCACCACCCACCACTCCAGGAAGCCGGCGGCCCCCGTCCCCACCTGCTCCCTCCGCAGCTGGATGCGCACACCTAGGTAGTCGGCTTCCTCGTCTGGGTCAGAGCCAGCGGGGGATGGTTGGAACCAGGAGCCCCCCCCCCCAGCCCAGGTGGTCCCGGCCCCTAGTTGCCCACACTCACTGGGCTGCAGCTGCTTCACGGGGTTGGCTTCAGGCCCGTTGGGGGCGCGGATGTACTTGGGGAAGAGGTGGGGGATGACCCTATGAGGAGAGCACATGGGCTGGGTCAGGCCCAGGGCTCCCCCAACCCCTGCCCACCCCACCAGGACCCCCACTCACACGGACTGGTCAGAAGTGCCCTCCAGCAGGCGGGCCAGCTGCCGCCGTGCCGAGCTGTCAGGGGCCAGCTCCAGGGTGTGCTTCTCATTGGTGTACTCCACCTTGCCGCCCTTGGCCAGGTCCCTGGAGGTGGACAAGCATGAGCCCCTGCAGGGAGCACCCACCAAGTCCCCGGGGCACATCACCCACCTCTGGAAGTTCCAAGTAAAGCGCAGGGTGATGTCGGCAGTGCCGTTGTACAGTTCTCGCTTCATTTGAGCCCGACTTGGGGGACTGATGCGCCACAGGGCCCCAGAGCTGCCCTCGATGTGAGCTGTGACGATGTCCTCGGGACTATACTGGCTAATGAACTGCATGGCCAGCTGTGGCATGGCATGCTTCAGTGGGGGTGGCCACCCCCACACCCACCAGGCCATCCCCTCTCACCACATGGACACAGCCAGGGGGCCACTCACCGGGTGGGTGTCAAACTGTCGGGACAGTTCCTCATAAGCTTCAGGTGTGAAGGGCACGATGGACGGCTGCTGGGCACTCATGGTGAACAGGGGCTGGCGGGGGACAGGGCAGCTGGTGGGCAACAGGGTGGGTGATGGGGAACCTRGGGGTCACGGACAGGCTGGGGTGGCGCTTGGTGAGACATCGGGGAGTGGAGGGGCCCTGCCCTGCTTTCCAAGGCAGCTCACCTCATAGCCGCCCAGCTTGAGAGTGACCGTGACATCGATGGGCTGGTTGACAACGCCGACCACGGAGCGCACCAGTGACATGAAGAGCAGTGGGAACCAGATGATGGCGATGAGGAAGACGATGATGAGGCCGCCCATGCCGTACTTGACGATCTTCTTCTTCCTCTGCCCCTTGGGCTGGGGGTATTTCTGGGGCAAGACACAGGTCACCCAGCCCCTCAGGGCCATGGTCTCTAGCCTCCAGCTGGGGTCACCACAAAGCTACCGTGGCCAGCCTGAGGCAGAGTGGGCACAGACACGCAGCTGGACCTAGACAGGCCAGGTGTCCAGTGGSAGCATCCCCAAGGAATGCGCTGGCTTGGCCCAGCCTGCAGGCAGCCCCCCTGCAGCCAGGCCCCAGGGCATGAGCCTCCAGGCATCATCTTATGACCTCTCAGGCTAACAAGACATGAGCCATGAAGGGAAGAAAGTAAACTTGTGCTTCCAAAGACACCAGCCTGGGAGCACGTCCCCAAACCAGCTGTCTGGAGAGGACCAGAATACACACAGAGCAGCGGCAGCTCACTTCCCTGAGCACATCCCCAGCCTGTTTTACTTTGAGATAGTTCTTGCTTCAGTCTCAAACTTGGGATCCTCCTGCCTCAGCCTCCCCAGTTGCTGAGATTATAGGTGGGCCCCCCCGCTCCTGGCTGCCACTTATTTCATGTCAGGAAATGAGCCCTTGTACTGCTAGTAAGAGTGAGTAGCTGCTTAGAAAGCAGCTCCTTAAGTCCTAGCCAGAACCTGCCCACAGGTCCAGGGCGCCTCCATAGATGGATGCCCACACACTCATGAGAGACTGTGATGTCGACAGCAACACTACTCAAGGAAAGTCCATCACTGGGGAGGCACAGGCAAGCGAACAGGGTCTTTGCATACCATGGAGTATTATGCAAGCATAAATAGGAGTGCTGACTTTCCCCTAGGTGGGAGAACTTTAGAAACATGGTGCTGTGGGCCTGTTTGTGGAAGGCCTATGACAGGCACAACCAGATGGGAGGCAAACTGGAGACTGCCAGGGCTGAGGCAGAGGAATGGCGTGACTGCTACTGGGGACAGGACTTAACTTTAAGATCCACTGCACTGGTAGCTGTCACTGTGCTGAACACCACCGATGTGTGCACTCTATAAACGGCTAAGTTGTACGGAGGAACATACCAGCGACCATGTGGCCTTTCCTCCCCCACTAAGCCTCTGGGCTGCTGCCCTGCTGAGCGCCCACCTCTAGAAGGCCAAGGCCGCTGCCCCCTGCCTGGAGGAGTTCTGTTTATCTTTTGGTGCTGGGGATTGAGCCCAGGGGCACTCAACCCCTGAGCCACATCTCCAGGCCTATTTTTATTTAGAGATGGTCTCACTGAGTTGCTTAATGCATTGCTTTTGCTGAGGCTGGCTTTGAACTCAAGATCCTCCTGTCTTAGCCTCTCAAGCCGCTGGGATTACAGGTGTGTGCCACTGCACCTGGACACTTGATTTATTGAGACAAGGTCCCTGAGTTGCCCAAGCTGGCTTTGAACTTTACATCCTCCGGCCTCGGCCTCCCGAGTTGCTGGGATTATAGGCACTTGCCACCATGCCTGGGCTCCAGAGGGTTTCGGAGAATCCTTCCTTTGACCTGTGGTTGGCTTCTGGCCTCCTGTCCACACAGGCAGAGCCTCTGGGGAAGCAGTACCCTGCTGTCCCTCCCCCAGGCCTGGTCCTACCTTCTCTGTCTCTCGATTACACTTGATGATGAAGATGTTGGCGTAAATGTCCTCCACACACATCCAATTTGACAGGGACAGGGTGGTGTCTGTCCACACCCAGTCCATGACTGCCCGTAGCTCCACCAGGAATGGCACCAGCCGAAACCTGCCAGGTCAGGATCCCGTCAGGAGGGTCTCCCATGCTAGCTCTGACAGGCTACCTAGCCCAGCTGCCCCTTGCTCTCGGTGACCCCTGGGAAGACCACTCACCCCTGAAAAAGGAAGAGGTTCAGGTGGTTGTACTTCTTGGTGAGGAAGTTGCCCAGGATGCGGGTGGGGTAGCCGCAGCGGATCTGGTAGGCGGACAGGGCAAAGTAGATGCACTTCACGAAGTACCACAGCTGGGCCACGGCATTCTGGCTGAACATCCTGGGACAGGGTGGCAGGGACCGTCAGAGACGGAGGCTGACCAGGCCCTGCCCTGCATCGTGCCCACCCCAGGATGAAGACCCCACCTCTCGGTGACGGCTGGCAGGATGAAGAACATCCAGAGGTGTATGGCGAGCACCAGCACCACCTGGAAAGCCAGCTTGCCCAGCACGGTCTTGCGCAGGTAGAGGGCACGGTCCACCACCATGGTGCTGAAGTGGATCAGCAGCATGACCAGGAAGGCCTCGGGCACCTGGTCATCTGACAGGGAGGACGTGATGTCTGTGGCGGCCGAGTGCTTCTGTAGGAGAGGCAGAGGAGGGGAGCTGGAGCTGGGCCGCTGGCAGCGGCTGGGCTGCACCCACCCGGGCAGCCAGCCCTGCTCACCCCAAAGGCCCAGAAGCCAAAGATGATGATGATGAAGTCCACAATGTCCGCCAGGAACATGAGGACATAGACGTCTGTGGCCGCCCGGTACTTGGTGTGCAGGATGTCATGGAAGAAGCGCTGCAGGGGCTGGTATATGCTCTGTGCCCTGTGGGAGGGGGCTCAGCTGGGTGCTTGGCCATCGGGACCCCCTCCCTGCCATGTGGAAAGAAGGGCCGGCCACTCACAGGGACAGGCAGAAGCTCTGCAGCCAGCGCGCGGCTGCCTTCATCCGTTCTTGAGAACGGCTCGGCCCTTTCTTTCCCGCAGCCTCTTCCTCCTCTTCCCCATCCACAGCTTCTGTGGGCGAGAAGTGTGGAGGCTGAGCCCCCGGGGGACTGGGCCTGGCTTCTGGCCACTTCACAGAGAAGCAGACAGCACAGGGGGCCTCTTCATGGCCCTGTCAAGGGGCAGCTGAGGCCAGCCAGGGCACATGCTCTGCTGCTGGCCCTGTAAACAGCAGTGTACCTCTCTGTCCCCCTGGAAGAGCCAGAACCCACAGCCAAGTGCTGTCCTGTCCTGGAATCCAGCTGGTCCCCTGCTGGGCCTGGCACCTCCAAGGGACGGGATAGGCCGTCCGGCCTCCTCTACCTCCCCTGAAACAGCCGGGGGCCAGCACTGCCTGTGAGAACCAGTGGGACTGAGCTGTGGTCAGAGCTCTCTCACCCACGGCTGCCGCTCCTGTGGGTCCAGGCCTCTCCTTCCTCCTCCTGAAACGCAGGCTGATTCGTCTTGAGTCCTGAGGCCTGAAGTCCACCTGGGGCTCTGGAGCCCCATCCTCAGGAACAGCCCTCGCTTCTACCTGGATGTAGTCCTTGGTCGTGGCTCCTGCCACCCCCAGCTCTGCCTGGTGCTCGGCGCCTGCCTCTGCCTGGGGTCCCAGTAGGACCTCTGGCCCCGCCTCAGCCCCCTGACCCTTCCCACTGCTCCTGCTCTGCTCCTTGGAGAACTGGTCCTCTTCGTGGTCCCAGAGGCCGTAGCACTGTGTGGAGGGCAAGGAGGGACAGTGAGGACACCAGCTGCACCATGCTTGGACCAGGCCAGATGGCCAGGCCCACCCTGGGCTGCCCGCTGTCTGGCCCGCGAGCCCTGGGTGCTGGGCGCGTGCTCACCAGCAGCTGGGAGCGGTGGAAGAAGAGCACCATGAGCTGCAGCAGGTCGCACTTGGTGTAGCTGTCCGTCTTCTCCAGGCCCAGGATGCGCGGGGGGAAGTAGGGCTTGTTCTCGTAGCGCCTCAGCACCGTGTGGCTATTCCAGGGGAAGAAGCCAAACTGGAACAGGTACTTGGTGACCACCGTGACCTGCAGAAGAAGGGGTYAGCACGGGGCCGGGCTGCCCCCTCCCTGGCCCCACTGACTGCAGCCCACCTCCGTGAAGATGATGGCTGTCATCCAGAAGCGCTTGCTGGGCCTGGGGATGGACAGCATGGCCCACAGGAAGATGAGCACAGGCAGCACCAGGGAGGCAGCCGAGGCGGTGACCATGTGGTTGAGGATGATGATGAAGTAGCAGAGCAGCTCTGAATGTGCGGCCACGCATTGGCACACGGCCTGCAGCAGCCGCAGCGTCCGGCCCTGCTCCGCCGCAAAGCTCTCGGCCTCCTCCAGCTCGGGGATGGGCAGGCACCTGCAGAGGGACCACCTGGCTGCAGCCATGCAGGCAGGTGGCTCCGACCCTCCTTGCCCAGCCCCACCCCACCCCACCTGTCCAGGAGCAGCTCGCTGGCTGTGCGCATCCGCACGTGGGCGTTGGCCAAAAGCTCCTGGGAGCCCTGCAGGGAAGCCTGGTCCCGGGAGTCGGTGGCAATCTCCTCACTGCCACTGCGGGTGCTGTAGCCGGTGCTCAGGGGGCTGCTGGTGTCATCTGTTAGGCTGCTCAGGGGCTCCTCAGCGCCCAGCCCACTGTGGGAGGGGAGCCAGGTCACAGGGTTGGGGTAGCTGGGATGCTCCACTCCATAGCGCCCCTAAGGGATCAGCCCCGGCTTTGTGGCTGAGAGCAAGGAGGGAGGAGCTGCYCTGGCTCAGCTCCAGCCCCCTCAGTCTGCCACCCACCTTGACACTGTGCTGGGTCCATCACGGGCCTCTGGGGGGCCTGGCAGTGTGCTCTCGGCTGCACTCACATACAGCTGGTCCAATACGCTCCGGTGCACCTCTCCACCCTGCAGGGCATGGGGGTCTCAGGGCTCTGCTCCTGACGGGCAGGGCAGCACCCAGCAGCGGTGGGGAGGGGTCTGCAGGGGTGTGACCGCACAGCTTACCCGCAGGAGCTCCTGTGTTAGCAGGTAGCGCTCTGCACGCAGCACGTCGCTCATGGTGCGGTGGTGCCTGGTGAAAGCACACAGCCAGCGTGTCAGCCCGTCCACCGTAGCTTGGCCAAGCACCCACAAGAACTGCACGGTGCCCAGCACGCGCTGCATGACGTGGCCTCGGCCTGTAGGGAGGGAGGAGATGCTGAAACAGGGGTTGGCCAGGAGAGTCCTGATCCCTGCCCTTGGGCCCACTCACCTGCCACCTCATCCTCGAGGGCTTCCACGGGCTCCCCCAGGCTCGGATCACCTCCTGATACAGGGGACTGGTCAGTGTCTCTCAGCTCTGCAGGTCCCCACCACAGCCCTGCCGCAACTCACCAGCAGGCAGCTGCCCTTCCTGGTGCGGCCGCTCCCGCTGCGCCTGCTCCCGCCGCTGCCTCAGCACCGTCTGGGCGTTGGTCACCCAGGCCTGGTATGCCATCTGCCAGCCCAGGAGTGGGTCAGAACCCTGGCCCCAAGTTCCCCTCCCAGGGAAGAGGAGGAGGAACCTGGGCTTGTCAGGGCCTGGCCCCAGCCCTGGCCGCTGCACCAGCCGGGGACCTGGCTGCCCTCACTTCCTCTGGAAATGGGACCCCAGGGCTGCAGTGGGAGGGCACAGTGAAGGCAGCCCACCCACAGGTCCTTGCTACCCAGCACCAGGGCCCCACACTGAGAACCAGAACCAAGGACGAGAGGGCCCTTCTGGCCCCAGGACACAAATGTGCCCAGCAACTACGCCAGGCTCCACAGACCAGGCCCTGGCAGCAACAGTCCAGCATGGCCAGAGCCAGGACCTAGGAAGTAAGGCGCAGAGGGGCAGGCGGCTGCTGGTGATCATCCCAGCCTAGGGCCTGTTTCCCGCCGCTGGGGAGGTCTGAAGGGGGTATGCAGAGCTGGCTGTCTAGACCCTGCAAGCCTCTGTCCCACCTCAGGCTGCCTGGCCCAAGGCCAGGACCTCCATGGACAGAGGGGAAGGGGGCCACCATCTCACCTGGAAGGCGCTCTGTGCTGATGGCCTGGGGTCCTCCGGCAGGGCTTCCTCTTCCTCCTCACTGTCAGACTCAAACAGGAAGTAGTCCCCAGAGTGGATGACTGCAGGCAGAGAGGGCTTGAGACCCAGCCCCCAGGCAGGGCTCCCCCTCCCAGCAAGACCCTTGAGAGGCCCTCCGGTTCCTCAACCGGGCATCAGCCAAAAGCAGACCCAGCTGCACCACCCAGAAGTTCCCCTTGTCCCACCACCTGCACAGGCGCTGCCCAAACTGCCACCCTAGTGGGGGGCCAGCAGGCTGGGGGATGGCAGAGCATGCATGGACGCAGGCCAGAGAGCAGGACGAGACCAGACCGGACAGGAAGGCACCAGGGAGAAGCAGGGTATCTGGAGTAGACGGTCAGGCAGGGTACCTGTGGCATGGTCCAGCCAGGGCCGCCACCACTGTCTCGGTGGCGAGGAGGCGCCCCCTGGACTGCTGGGCCCTGTGGAGGGGCGGGGCCAAGAGTGAGGTGACAGGGAGGGGCCGGGGAGGCTGTGGGAGCAGCCGGTCCTGGGAGGGGCCACCACAGACACGGAGCCCCTGCAGTGCTGGTGCCGCAGGATGCCCTGTGGTCGGCCTGGAAGGATGGGAAAGAGGGCCCACGAGTGCAGACAGACAGTCACAGGGTGGCCACACAGCTTGCTGGGACAAGGGACCACACCACATGGCACAGGACACTGATAGGCAGGGAACTCTGGGGACATCACATGACACAGAGGCAGGCAGGCTCCGGTGGGCATGGACATGGGGAGTCCTCCCAGGTCCTGGGCCCCATCCATGCTCACCTGGCTCCTGGACAGGGTCCTCAGGGCCCACGGCCTGTGGGCGGACACGGCCTGCCTGGCCTTGCCTGTACTTTTCCTGCTTGGCACGGATCCGCCTCATCCTGTGGGAGGGAGTGGGCTCTGAGTGCCAGGCTGGCCAGAAAAACCCCAGGGTCCTTGCCCCAGAGGGCACCTACTGTCTCTTCAGCTGGGCCAAGGACTTCTCCTCTGCCTTGCGGTGGGCCTCAATGCTCTTGAGGCTGGCTGCATTGTAGAGGGCGAAGCCCCTGTGGGGAGAGCGGTGAGGGCAGGACTCAGCTCTGCCTGTCCCCACCCCTGGGCACTGGGGTCCCTGGGAGAGGCAGATGAGGCTGGCTCTAAGTCAGAGCTCTGTGCCCAGGAGGTAAGACACTGTCACAGTCAGGGCTGACACCAGGTCCATGCAGCACTCAGCCTCTGAGCTCCAGTCTGGGGATGGCCAGGGCACAGGCGATCCATAGGGGGCCAGTGTTCCTTGGGCTTCCCTCCAGGTGACACATGAGCCTCAGGGTGCAGGTGCCCATGGTGCTCTCTTCCAGCCCAGGGATCCAGTGCTAGCTGGGCTGGGGCTGACCTGGAGGCCTGCAGGGCGGTGGCCTGCAGGTCCACACTGACGTGCAGGAAGTAGTAGCTGAGGAAGACGCGGCGCTGCAGCAACAGGAAGAAGAAGCAGACGCCGTCCCAGATGACACCGGCCTCCTCCACGGGCAGCAGGCAGTCCTGGTCCCTGCCCATCATCTCCTTGGCTGTGGGACAGGTACCGGCATGGCCAGGGGTCAAGGCCTGAGCACCGGGGGTCCCTGTGCACCCCCTGCCCCAGACCGCGCCCACTCACGGTCATAGTAGCCTTTGACGGTGCACACGAGGCTGAAGAGCTGGATGACCCAGCAGAAGCTGCTCTGCATCTGCTCCACGAAGACGCAGGACAGGAGCTGGGGGAGGGGGAGGGTCAGCCAGGCCTGGGGGAGGGCCAGGGCCAGCCGAGCCACGGGAGTGGGGACGGCGGGCGGGCAGCTCACCGACAGCATGTTCTTGGAGATGATGACTGTGACGTTGTAGAGGATGAGGCAGTCCCACAGCACGAGGCGGGACCGCGTGCCCTTCTGCAGCAGGGTGGTGCCGAAGAGCAGCAAGTAGAAGCAGGCCAGCAGGTAGCCCAGCCCAAAGATGCTGATGCGCGTGGCCCCCGTGATGAACACCACCACCAGCACCAGCCAGAACAGGTAGCGGAAGACGGCCACCTTCAGCATGTCCAGGTAGGACCTGCAGGCAAGTGTCACCAGCTGCTGGTCGTCCTGGCTGCCCCCTCCCAGCAGGGCCCTCCATGGTGGGCATGTGCCCCCACCTGCAGTGGATGAAGTTGGGCACAGGGTTGGGCTCCCCGCGCAGTGGCTCCAGGTGGTCAGTGTTGGTGCCGGCCATGCGCTGCCACTCCTCAGTGCGCTCGGCTGCAAACACCTGCCACTGCTGGGAGGCGCAGAGCAGCAGGAGGAAGTCACCTGCGGACACAGGAGAGCTGCCGGGGCCACGTCACGCCGTGGGTACCACTGTACACAGGGCAGCATGAGGACATCAGCAGGTGATGCCTGTGCATACGTGTGCTGCGTGTGCGTGTGGCAGGAAACGTGGGCCGCACACTATGGCCATGGCCTGTGAGCCTGGGGGACAGTGAGTGCTTGGACCTGTCCTCAGGCCCTATCAAGACGTGACTGCAGGCAGGGGCAGGCCCACTTGGCTCAGAAGTACAGGCCCTGGGCCCGCCTGGCAGTACCCGGTGGGCCCCTTCCTCCCATGCCCTGCAGGTCCACATGCCCTGCAGGTGCAGCCTCTGTGGCCTCCGGAGGCTGGCGGGTGTGCCCCCCAGGGTGGCATGAGCAGGATGCGGGCCTGCTTGTGAGGCACTCACTGATGAGGTTGGTGGAGTTGGGGGCCCTGAAGAAGTCGGGCAGGTACAGCCACTTGATGAGAGCGGAGTTCATGGGGATGGCCTGGCTCCAGCGCCACGGGTAATCTGTGGGCATGAGGGCATGTCAGGAAGGGCGAGGCCTGTCCAGGGCCTCAGAGGTTTACGATTTTGGCTTGGGCATTCCGCTGTTCACAGGGGACGTTCCCATATCCTGACACCCCCATGGTCTCCCGTCACATGCTCTCACACTGGGAGCCCCGAGGACTTACAGACCCAGGGGCACTGTACATTCTGTGATGCATCAGAGTAGGGGTGGGGGTGGGGGACAACAGAGGAACCCAGCCACAGGCCAGAAAGTCAGGCAGCAGCTGGGCTTCTTGTAAGGCAGGAGGGACACCCCCTGGGGGCAGGTGACACTGGGTAAGCATGGCTCACATGATGCCATGACATGGTAACCACATTCAGGCCACACCTGTGACCCCAGAGGCAGGATGGCAGGCCCACAGCCAGCCTGGACAACTCGGCAAGGCCTTGTCTCCAGAGAGAAGGGGTGGGGAGCCGTCTCAGCGGCAAAGTGTCACTGAGCTCAGTCCCACTGCTGGGGGGACAAGAATCAGGTGGCATGTAGCCGTTATGGTCTGGGTGCTGCTTTTTTTGTTCCTGGGGAGCTGAATCGAGGTGCTTAACCGCTGAGCCACATCCCTAGCCCTTTTTTGTTTTGAGACAGGTTCTCACTAAGCTGCTTAGGGCCTTGCTAAGTTGCCAAGGCTGGCCTTGAACTTCGAATCCTCCTCCTCAGGAGGACACAGACCTCCATGCTTTCTGTGGCGTGGTGGTCAGATGACACCACACTGAACTAGACCCCAGAAAGGGAGCTGGCCCGTGTGCAAACCAGGACTCACTGGGCCCAGCTCAGTGCCATGGAGCCTGGAGTGCAGCACAGCACAGCTGGAGGGACCCTCGTGGCAGATGTGAGATGACCACCCAAGTCACCCCCCGTGTCAGGTCTGTAGCATGGAGGCACAGTCATGGGTCCCCTGAGCTGGCCAAAGGGGTGCACTTGAAGCCCAGCGGTGGCCACACCTGCTCTGAGAGCCTGAGGGCACCGCAGCACAGCCAGGCCTCAGGGCCTTCAGCAAGACCTTGGAGGGGCTGGGCGTGGTGGAGAGCCCGCCTGGTAGGGCTCAGCCCCGGTTCAATCCCCAGCACAAGGAAGAACACCAGCTGGCTCTCCCAGGACAAAAGGCCAGGACACTCAGACAGGAGCTGGAGGACCCCTGCACCCGGCAGGCTGACCCTGCCACAAGGACCGCGCTGTGGGGAATGGGACCCTGGGCAGCTGCACTGTGCACTAGACCACCACCCCCAGAGTCCCGTGACTCCCAAACACCTGTGCTCCTGGGATACCCTGACCTATCTGAGGGTTGAGACGTCTCAGGGTGGGAAGAGAGCCGTGGATGCAGGGAGAGCCTGGGGGCAGGAGCACCCCAGAGAGACGCTTCAGCTGGGACAGGGAGGCTGAAGGGCAGTGGGACTCACAGGGCTGGCTCGGGGCTGGGCTGTGGAGGGCCCAGGCTCGGCCCGGGGAGTCGGGGGAACCATGCCCCGGCTCCCTCCTCTGCGCCCACAGCTCGGCTCCTGGCCCCTTGGCCCTCTGCCCCACTGGCACCCACAAGGCTCACCGATGCACAGGGCAGGGGGCATGCCCAGGCACAGCAGGTACTGGTACAGCAGGAAGAGCACCAGGAAGAGGCAGTAGCTGGGCCAGAGGCGGGCGATGGCCTCACGACGCCGGCGAGTGAGAATGGTCACCAGCCAGCAGCCATGCAAGATGACCATGAAGTTCATGCGCTGCCCAATCACGTTCACGGCCATCATGAAGCAAATCTGGGGAGGGACAGTGGGGACAGGGGTGGCCTGGGCTTAGGTACAGGCCTCCTTGGCCTGCACCAGGCCCACTCTGACGGCACAAGGGACAGACAGGTCAGCACCTCCTGCCTGGAGGCCTCCAGGGGCAGCAAGTACACGTGGGGGGGCCAGCAGTCCAGGCTCCCAGGGTGACCGCCTCGCCCCCGGGAGGGCTGCAGAGGTAAGCCCTATCTCCATCAGGCTCTGGAAACCTGAGGCTTGGGAGGCAGTTCTATCCTCAGACCCCGGCCAGCCCTGGCCCCCTGCCTTCCTGAGCACTGTGGTGGGCCTCACTGGTACCCGAAGGGCCCCAGCTCAGCCCTAGAGCTGTGCCCCAGCTGCACACCCCAGGCAGCTCCAGGTGCCCGAGAGGTACAGGGCCCCCAGAGGCCGAGCCTGCTGGGAAGGGGCAGGGGCACTGTCTGACCTCACCTCCAGCCCAAACTTGTAGAAGAAGAAGTTGACGAAGTACTTGAGACAGCTGAGCAGGCCCTGGTCGAGCCGCTGGCGGGTGCCGTCAGCACACACAGCCTGGGCGGGCAGCGGGGCAAGCTGGTGCTGCCGGCGGTAGTGCTCCTGACGGCGGTACACCATGGCCTCGAAGACCAGCAGCAGCAGGATCTGCAGGTGGTTCTGCAGAGTGGAGCGGCGTCAGGGCAGTGAGGACAGCTGGGCTATCTGTCCACTGCTGGGCCCCGTGCTCACCTGGATGTAGCCCAGGTTGGGGAAGCCCTTCCGCACCCCAAACCAGTTGGCAGGGTCGACGGGACCACGGTACAGCAGGGACTGGTTGATCTCTGTCCGATGCAGGTTGGTGCTGTTAGGGAGGGGCTGGCAGGCAGGTCAGGTCAGGTCAGCACCTGTGCCTCCAGCCCAGGTCCAGCCATAACAGTTACCCAGCAGGGGCACCCTAGGTGGCCTCAGAGCCATCCTGAGGGGGAGGGTCCAAGTGTCTGGGAAATGAGAGGCCGCAGGCCAGGCTGGGGAGGCAGAGATGTGCAGGGAGAAGCAGGACAGTGGCGAGATCCTGGCAGAGCTGCCCTGAGGCCCTCCCTTCTGCATGGCAGGGTCTCTGCCGGTGTCCCTCACACCATGACTTGCATCCCCTGAGGGACTGTCCAGGTGGAAGTGCCCGTACCTCAGAGCAGTTGCTGGAGTACTCCTGGGGGTTGACGACCTTGAGCTGGTACAGCATCTTGCACACGATGATGATGCAGCTCCACACGGTGGACAGGCAGGAGGCCATGGGCCGGAAGCGTGGGTAGGGCAGGGCGAAGGCCCACAGCACCACCAGGAGCAGGTTCATCACCGACACCTGCAGGGGACCCGGGTGTCAGGGAGGCTGGGCTGGGGCGGCCCCACCCGGCAGGAGGAGATGGACGCTGAAGGGAGGGGCCGGTGCCGCCAGCTCACCTCCTTCAGGGCCACCCAGACGGTGTACAGCGCCACCAGCTTGAAAATGTGCAGTTCCAGCAGTCGCCGCACGAACACCTGCACGCGGGAGAGGACCTCCGAGAAGCCAGCGGCCAGGTCCAGCAGCCGCTCGGCCACCAGGCCCCACTTGCTGGCTGTGCCTGTGATGGGGGCAGGGTGGGGGTCAGTGAGGCTCKGGGCTCAGAGGGGACCGTCAGTGCCCCTCAGCTGGGGCATGGCAGAGTGAACTCTGATCGGCCACTGTTGCGCTTACCTTCAGGGACCTGTGTGGCCTGGCAGGGGCTGTCCACATTCAGCCCCCTGTCCCTGGGGACCTCTTCCTCCTCCTGCAGCAGAGGGGCCTCGCTCGCCATGTCCTGCCTAGAGAATCCGAGTCACTCCCCGCCTGTCCTCTTCTCCCTGGGCGAGATGCCCCCACCAACACCCCTTGTCCCCTTGTGTTTGTGCTGCAGCTGCTGGGCCTGGTGCACGTGGCCCTCAGAGGTGTGCCTCCTGCCCAGGCCGATGGTGGTCAGCTGACATTCCCCCACCACCTGGACGTGCCCTCAGCCCCATGAGGTGTGAGAAGACGCCCAGCGCCCAGGGCCTTGGACCTSAGGGCACAGCCAGGCCCTGGCTCCTCCTGCCCCCATGAGTGAGGCCCTTCCCCAGCTACAGCAGGAGCAGGGGAGCCCGGGAGGTGGGAGGCACCTGTGGGCCCTGCGTGGGCGGTGAGGGCCGGCGGGGGGCACGTGCTCCAGGTCGGTGAGCTGCATGAAGGGCCGGTGGAAGTAGTGCAGCTGCAGGATGCAGGCGAGCAGGAAGAAGCCYGGGATGAAGATGCTGGAGAAGAGCTCGGACACGCTGAACTGCTCCAGGCCCAGGTCCCCCAGCCTGTGGGGAGAGGCGCCGTGGCAGGCCCAGCCCCAGGCCGGCCCAGTGGGACAGGTGGGCCTGAGGAGGGCCCCTGACTCACTGCTCGTCCGTGAAGCCGGTGAGGTTGCGCCAGTAGGCGGGGAAGTCCTGGAACTGGAACGTATACACRGCGATGAGCACCAGCATGGTGTAGGCCACCACGAGCCACCAGAACACCTTGAGCAGCCTGCGCCACAGGCTGTAGTACACCTGCGGGCGGCACAGGGCATTGAGCGGTGCCTGGGGAGGGGCAGTGGTGCCGTGCTGCCCGCCCCCAGGGCTAGCTCACCCCCAGGCACCTGGAAGAGGGTGAGGCAGAGCAGGAAGAGGAACATGTACACGATCTTGTAGACCACCAGCCGGCCSGCGAAGCTGACCACCACGAACATGCCCGCACACACGTAGATCCAGTACTTGGCGTACACGCCCGTGACCAGCTCCCCCAGGCTCCGCAGCAGCGTCTGGGTCTGCGTGGGCTCTGCGGGCCAAGCCAGTAGGCAGGGAATGGCCCTGGGCCCGGCAGGGCGGGACGGCGCCACCCGACCACCCCACTCACCTGTGTCCGCCACGGCGACCTGCAGCAGCACGGCAGGCCCCTGGGCCTTCTTCAGCAGCTTCTCCTTCACGAACTGCCGCAGCAGCAGCCAGAAGGTCAGGGTGTAGAGCAGCTGCGAGGCAGGGACGTCACAGCCGGGCGGGGGAGCGCGGCCCCCCACCCAGGCCCAGGCCCAGGCCCACCCGACACAGGCAGTCAACGGCCAGACACGGGTGTGCTGCACAGGGTCACACATGTGGGTCCACACGCTCACGGTCCCACACTCAGGCCCACGGTGACTGCCGGACTCGAGCACGCGTGTGTCTCACACGTGTGCAGACGCTCACGTGCCCACTCTGGCTCACGGGCTCRTGCGCCTCACGGGACACACACTGAAACCCACCACCCACAGACAGTGGCSGACACAGACACTGGCCCACGGCCACAGCAGCACACTGTCACCCGAACACACTGGGCCATACTCAACAGCGCCCGGGTGGGTTGGCAGGGACTCCATGGTGACCTCCAGCCGGCTCCCTCTCYCGGGTTCTCCCAGCCGGGCAGGCAGACGAGGCGCCGTGCCATCCTCACGGGCACCAGGGGCCTCAGCCAGCACGGGGCTCCCAGGCCGGCGGGCATACTCACCATGGCGCCCAGGTCCAGGCAGGGGTAGCGGGTGTGCTGCAGCCCCAGCTGGCGCAGGCTGACGGGGCCCAGGGTGGTGGGCAGCTCGGGGCGCASGTCCAGGGCCCACACGTAGCGCAGGCAGCACAGCGCCAGCCCGTACAGCAGGATGCAGGGCGAGCACAGCATGGCCAGCTGGTGGCGGCTGCGCACCGTCCAGATGAGGCAGGCCCAGAGCAGCAGCACGAAGGTCAGCCAGCTGTGGTAGGTGATGCTCCACACCTGGGCAGCCAGGGCCAGCAATCACAGCCCCAGTCTGAAAGGCAGGCTGCCGTCTCCTCCCCCACACAGCGGGACTACCGCCAAGGGCCCCGGGGCTGCTCCTTACCATCATAGCAATGAGGGCACAGACGTAGCTCTGGGCCATGATGAGGTGGCCCAGGCCATGCAGGGGAGAGGCCTCTCTCAGCTCTGCCAGCCTGGGAGGCACTGCGGGCAGAGCAGAGGTCAGCTCTCAGGTGGGGTCACCTCTCCCCACACCGCTGTGGCCTAAAGCCTGCACCAGCACAGGGCCCAGCAGGCAGGAGGGGGCCAGCCAGAGAAGACGGCCACTGTGGGCACTGGGCAGTCCTGGCCGCCACATCTGACCCGGTACCTGATGGGGCACATGACCCTGGACGGCCCCTGTTGGGCCCAAGTTCCAAGACCCTGAGGGGACGGGGTGCACAAGAACACCCCAGCCCATGCCCGCACTCCATCACTTCACTCAGGGCAGCTCAAAGAGCGAAACCCAGCTCAGTGGAGGAGCAGCCCCTGGGAAAGACCCCACGGTGCTGCCGCCCGCCCCAGAGTCCCTGCCACCACAGGGCAGCTCCCTGGGCCCTGGACAACTGCAGCCACTCCAGCACCAGGCCCAGTGCTTGGAGAGGCCTCCTGAGGGGTCTTGGCCTGGACAGCTGGGGAAGCTGCAGGGTGGACATAGGATCTAGTGGCCACTAGGGGGAGCCCTGGCCTCACCCCTGGGGCTGAGAGGGAGCCCGCGTGGGCCCCAGGAAGGTGAACTGGATGGGGATCAGGAAGGTCCTACTCACAAGGACGGTGCTGGACAGGGCTGTGGCTTGTCAGGTCATGCACGATGCAGTTGTCAGTCTCAGTGTCAGGCCCCGGGGATGCGGGCATCATCAGCTGTGGGGGACAGGGGGGTAAGCCAGCTGCACAGGAGGCCGCCAACCCTGCTTGGCCACCTACTCACCTGCGTGGCTTCCCTGTCCTGCGCAGCAGCCCCTGCCTGGCCCTGTGGCCCCTGCTCCAGCTGATCCAGTTCCAGCTCCTGCTCCTCGTCCTGCCCGGCCACTTCCTTCCTCTGCAGACAACAGAGCCACAAGGTCAKTCCCACACCCACCCCAGGGCTGGGAGGAAGCAGGACACCTGGCCGGCCCAGGCGGGGAGAGCAGGTACCTGGTCCRAGGGGCGATACTTGTGGAGCTTCGGGAGAGAAGTGACCGTGTAGTGCAGCAGCAGCAGGATGCCCGGGCTCACGTAGATGGGCCAGTCGTGGCTGGTGTTGAGCACCAGTGCGTTGGGGCAGGAGCAATTGATGGGGCCCACAAAATCCTTAAGACCAAACACCCTGTSCAGAAAGGACATGTCACTGACCACCCGCCCTGGGGCAACAGGGCCAAGGACCCAGCCAGGAGAGGACCAGGGCCTGTGTGGGAGCCCTCACCTGGCCCAGATGCTGGCTGGGGGGAGCACGGCCTGGACCAAGGGTGTCTGATAGCAGTAGAGGCAGATGAGATGGCCGGCACCAAAGCAGCTCACCATGACGCAGAGTGTGCTGAAGCCCAGGGGGCTCATGGGAAGATGGCAGGCCCACCAAGTGCAGATGGCCAGGAAGACCAGCAAATAGACGCTAGAGAAGGCCGAGGGGTGGGCGATGCCTGCAGGGCGGGGCAGAGGTGTGCTGGGTCCTGCTGGCCATCTTGATGGTCATGGCAGAGCTCCGAAACCCTCCTGGACTGACTCCTGATGCCGCAGCCCCACGCCCACCCGCGGTACCTGCTAGGGCGAGCAGCACGATGGCCAGTGTCCGTCCAGCGGCCACCAGCAGCCAGTGGGCTGTGACCCGGAGCCGGGCAGCCAGCCGCGACCTGGGCCTGGGGGCCAACACCGGGGCTCCCTGTGGCCAGGCTGGGCGTCCAGTGTCCACATCCATGTCCCCTTCATCATCCTGCAGTGGCCCAGAGAGGGGAAGGTGGGTCAGGCACGTGGGACCGAGGCTTCTGCTGCCCCTGCCTGCGCCCAGCRTCCCCTGGCCCAGAGGCTGCCCGCACCCTCCCTCCACACTGCACGCTGGCCTGGCTGGCCTGGGGGCAGCGTCCCCAGAGGGTGTGGGCTGACCACACTGTCCCAGACCACCTGGTGTCTCCTCTTGATCTCCCCGCCTGTCCTGGAGCCCTGCGGGTCAGGCACCATGCTGCCGTCTGCAGGCCCGAGACCCACTGCCCTGGCCCCTCGGGCATAGAAACAGGCCCAGAGGTGACGGTGACTCGCCCAAATCGCAGCCGGGAGCTGCTGGAACCTGTCTGCCCCCTTGAGGTCCAAGGAGAACAAGGGGCCTGTGGGGCACTCAGGTGCCAGGTCTTCCTGGCACAGGAACTGACCGTGTCCGGAGAGCCACTGCCCTCCCACAGCCTCACTGCCCRGCCACAGGCCTATCTCCCTGGCTCTGACGGAGGCTTCCCATGGCAGAGCTGTTTCCAGGCATCAGGGAGAGGCGGGTGTGGTGGAAAGAACATGGACTGTCGTCAGACGCCCGGCCCGGCAGCCACTGGCACCTGCTCCCAGCTGCGCCTTGTAAACACGCAGCCTGGAGCCCAGGCTGAGCACAGGCCCTGGAGCAGAGGGCCTGGTTCTCCCCAGTTCCACGTCCCCCTCTGTGCAGCCTGCGGGTGGCCTCTCAGACTGTTCCCAGTCTGCAGATTGGAGCTGGAGCTGGACAGCAGAGATGACCAGACAGCTCTACCCTAATGCCCTCACAGCCTGGCCCTGGAGATGCCGTGGGCCTGAGCTGGCTCGGGAGGCCGGCTGAGAGGAAGGCCAGGCGGCGGGGGCGAGGCCCTCACTGCCCTGGAGCCGTCCCTTGATGCTCCCGCCTCCTCCCAGCCCACCCTGCTGGCCGGGAAGGGCACAGGCCTGTATCACCCTCCCACGGCCTGGCACCAGCCGTGGGAATGGGGAGGGAACACGCAGCTGCTGACAGGGGACAGGTGCCCTGAGGCTACCCGTGGCAGCAGGCTGGCCAGACCCTCCCACCCTGACCTGCTGAGTAGCCTCGGAGTCCCTTACCCTCTCTGGGCTTCTCTGGAGGTCAAGACCCATATGCCCAGTGAGTGTCAGCTGCTGGCAGGTGGATGCTGGAGCTTGGCTCCAGGGACCTGGCCCATCACAAAACCTGGCTGAACCCCGGGACCTGGCCCCAGCCACACGCCATGGCTGGGGTGGGGTGGGGGGTGCCTGGACCACAGCCTGAGCAGGGCAGGAGGGCCCAGAGGCTCCACACCCTTGCTGCCCATGGGTTAGAGCCAGGGCTGGACGGCTCAGGCCCCATAGCAACTGAGGGTGACCCTCCTCACCCTGGAGGGCACAGACTGGCCCGGGCCTTGGCTCCCAGTGCCGAGGCCCGCTGGGCTCTGTGCTCTGCACTGTGCTCCCTACAGAGTGCCCTGGCCCCACACAGGCACGGCTTCTCAGGACCTGTAGCTGGTGCTCTGCCACCCCGACTGCCCTCCAGCTCTGCCAACTGCCCCTGTGTGGCCCGGAGGAACCTCYGACAGACCCCGTGAGCACAGAGCCCCTTGGGCCAGCTTAGCGAGACCCTGTCTCTAAATGAAAAGGCTGGGGGGTGGCTCAGTGGTGAGCACCCTGGGTCCATCCCCAGTTACCCSCCCCACGTCTGTGCTCGGGATGGCCGGGACTGCCCCTCCAGAATGCCCCTCCAGCTGCCCACACCCTCACCGACTCCTGGGCACACGGGCTCTGCTGGGCTCTTCTCGTGAGGCGCCTGCCAAGGCCGAGGCAGATGGAAGAGACCACCAGGACACCCAGGTCGGGGGCCACCATCCGGGTGGTGTTGGGAATGTCCTTCAGGTCCAGCCTAGGAAGGGCCCGGCAAGGGCAGGGTCAGCACAGGAAGCAGGGCTGGAGGCCRCCCCTTGGGCGGGGGCCCCCAGGAAGGTTCACTGGGGGGTGTTACCTCGTGACCCCGATGTGTTGAGAGACGGTCTCCCAGAAGCTGCCTGCAGAGGGAGCACAGGGGCCCCAGGTCAGGCAGGCGGCCAGCGGCCAGCTCCTCCAGAACCCAGGTGGGCAGGGTGCCCACTGTTCCCACCGCCTTTTCAGACAGGGAAACCGAGAGCTGGCCAGGGACACTGGGCCACCTGGCTGCACCATCAGCCCTGAGTGGCAGAGGGGACTCGGCCCASCTGGGACCAGTCCAGGTGCTGGCCCCGCCTGACAGCCGCGGCCCCGGCCCTCCCGCCTTGGGTTCCCGACACCAGGATGGCAGCAGGGCCTCGGGACGAGGGCTGCATGCAGAAGCCAGGGGCCTGGGGTCGCGGGGACTCAGAGCACTTGCTGGTGCTCGTCCCCGAGCTGGCGACAACACCCAAGTGCTGACAGGGCAGAGCCGAGGCCCCCGGTGCCACCCGGCTGCGTGGCCAAGCCCCAAGGGGCACCGGAGAGAGATGCTGACAGGGCATCCTGCGGAGAACAGGGTGCGCCCAGGCCTGGACGCAGCTCAGCCCCGCTCTGCCTGCCCAGCCCCCTGGCCCAGCCACTACTGCCAGCACCTGACCTGGGCAGGACATACACTGTGGCCAGGCACTCAGGGGCTGGCCCACGTTGGGTAAAGCCTGGATGAGACGGGGCGGTCTGATGAGCTGGGCCAGCCTCTCCAAGGAGACCCAAGGTCCCCGAAGGGACCTGGTGGCCCTTCTCCCCTCCACGCCCACAAGGCCATCCCCAGATCCCCTGCCCTGCTCATAGAGACTCACAGTTTGACCCCAGGAGCTGGTCCAGGTGTGGCACGGTGTGCAGGCATATCTGGAAGACCAGGTGGGCCACCAGGAAGAGGAGGCTGAGTGAGAGCAGGGTGCGGAGGAGGCGACCCGGGTGACCTGGGGGAGTGCACAACAGCTGCGGCCCTCTGCCTGGACTCGCACCCCAGCCAGGCCACTGCCCGTCACGAAGCCAGAGGCGCACCCCAGCTGACATGGGGTCTGGGCCGGCTGTCCCTGTGGCTCCTGGAAGCGGCCCCAGCAGGCACTGAGACACGAGCAACGGGAGTGGCCCTCACAGCATTGCTCTGTCCAGGGCTGTCCGGGACCCCCTGCCCTGTGTCCGCTGCTCCCACCCAACTTACAGAGGAGGACGTGGCACAAAGTGCAGAAGCAGTCAGCCCACGGCCACGTGGTGAGGGGCTCTCAATGCCTGTCCACTGGGGCTCATGCTGGCCTACTACTGCAGGGCAGGCCCCTCCTGAGTGCTGTAGAGGGGACGGTCCCCAGGCTTGGGGGAATGGGACTGAGCTTTTCCATTTACCCATTAAGTATCTACTGGGCACTACAAAGAGTGGTGAAGAGGACACAGAAGGAGGAACGTCAGCTCTCCACCCAGGACAGCTGTCTGCCCTGTCTGCAGGTGGAACAGGCAGGGACACACCTGGGCAGTGGGCACCACTGCAGCCTGAGATGCTTTCAGCAGCTGCAGGAGCAGGGAGCCACAGGACAGACGGCAGCCCTGGGCCCGGGCTGCTGTGTGCCCGCACAGCCAGAGCCCCACACCTCCCCTCATGACCTCCTGGGGGACAGGCTGAGGCTGCGGGAGGCACAGTCACAACCCAGCCACCCGGGCCTGGCTCTGCGGTTCCCAGCCACCAGCCCTCTGTATCAGCCTACTCAGCAGGGAGGTCCTCAGCCGCAGGGACAGGGCTGCAGCCTATGAGCGGGGGACTCTGGGTTCCTGGCCTGGCCTCTGCGCTATGAGTAGGTGGGCAGCTGGATGGGAGCTGGGAACTGCCTCCAGGTCCTTGCTCCTGCTGGGGCTGACCTACTGCAACAGCCCAGACCAACCCAGGGACACAGCCAGCAGCTGGCACTGAGGCCTGGCAGGGCAGCAGGGTCCCTCCCCCAGAGACAGACAGGTCACCGTGGAACCTGGCCTCTCCCTGGAGGCGAGCATGCCCAGAGCCAGTGTCCTCCGGTTCACCAGTTTTGGGCACAGGTGGAACAGATCCAGAACTGGCCCCAGGGCCTCCCTGCCAGGCTGGCCCAGCAGGCCACGTGCACTGACTGCTCACACACACTCAGTGCAAGCTCGGGCCCTCTGGCTGTCCACCTGAGCTGAGCCAGCCAAGCTGAGCCGGAGGCAGCACCCCACTGTTGCCCGAGTGTGCCCCCAGGCCCTGAGGCTGGGGCAGGCTTTCCCAGGATGGAGGGAGGTCAGCCTGGGTGCAGGGCAGGGTCAGCAGGGAGGGGAGCTCTGGGGCCAGGCCTAGAGAGTCAGGCAGATGCAAGGCTTCAGCCACCCCCACGGGGGACAGACATGGGGCTGGTGTCCTCTAGAGCTCTCTGCAGACCCCACAGTTAGGCCCCGAGTGGGCAACATCGGCACCACCACAGATGTGGGAGCAGGGAGGGCTGGGGCTAGGTGGCCGCTGGCTGATGACCAGTGGGCGCAGGCCCTGCAGCGCAGACCCAGCCTGGAGGATGCCCGGAAGAGTCCATTTCTCAGCAAGAGCCCCTCCCTCTAACAGCTAGCTGGGGTGGGGTCCTGCTCGGCCTTTTGACTGCCCCCACACATTAGGACCACCCCCCATCCTGCGGCAAACCCACAATGGCTGCCGCTGTTCCCCCGTCTTCAGTGAGGAGACCGAGGCTAGGAGAAGGTGGACAAGCACGTCCACTGCCCAGGAGCCCTCCCAGAGCCAGTGGCCAGCTCGCTCCTGTCAGCCCTGAGGTCCAGGCTGAGCTCTGAAGGACTGCAGAGCCGGGCCTGGCTCCTCTGTCCCAAGGAATGGAGCACCAGCCCTGGCTCCAGGCCACCCAGGAGCCTGTGTTCCCAGCTGCTGTCTGGGCCTCGGCCCATCTGCTTCCTGCATGGAGGGAGTCCACGGGAAAGGAACGGTCCTTGACCCACCAGAGCAGGTGACCCACCCCCTTGACCCCTCCTCACAGGGGCGGGCTCAGCATGCCCTGCCAGTGCCCGCCAGCACCAGGGGCTTCCCAGGGTGGTCCTGGCAGGGCTCCCTGCAGGAAACGGGAAGCAGCTGGGGCGCTGCTCCCTTGGAAGGCCCGGCCCAGGTCCCAGGCCCACTGCCCATCCCACAGTGACTCGGGGGTCTCCCACCCTCCCCCTCCCCCCTGCCCCTTCCTCCTGGGGGAGCCTCCTGACACCCCCCACCAGGCGCCCTCTGAGCCGGCCGCCCTGCCCACCAGGCCTGCCCTGCGGGCTCCTGACGGAAGCTGGGCCAGGGCCGAGCCTGGGTCCTGAGTGTGCTGGTGACCAGAGGGGCCCTGGTGCCACCTGCAGAGGAAAGGGTGGGGGCCAGCCACCGGGGAGGAGGCTCCGTGGGACGGTCCCCTCGGCCCACTCAGGACCAAGTCCCAGATAAACCCAGAGGCCTAGGAGCCCACCTATGGCTGGTGTCCCCAGGCTACAGATGAGGGAGCAGGCCTCTGTCCTGTGACGTGGGCAGGTGGGCGGGGGTGGCCTGGGTCACACACACCCACCAAGCTGTCGGACAGTCTCACCCTGTCTTGACCTCCCCGGCCCTCGGTTCACAGGAGCCCCCGAGGCACAGCCAGAGCCCCTCTGGCGTACACGGGCTCAGGCTGGCCACAGCATCTCAAGGCTTCCCAGGGCCCAGCTGGGCTGGGGGGCTCTCGAAGCAGAGGCCTGAGTCTACCCAAGGCCAGGGAAAGGGTCCGGGAGGCTGCAGGGAGCAGAGGACCTGTGGGGTAAAGGTGGGGTCTCTCTCCAGGGAGCAGAGGCAGCCTGGGGGGGGAGCGCTTCCCTGAGCCCTAGATGGCAAGCAGGCTTGGGAGCTGACCCCCAGGGCCCCTCCCTGCACAGCTGAGGGCCAGGCTAACGCCTACGTGGGGACCAGGACAAGCAGCGTCAGACCTTCCACAGGGCCAGGGCCAGAGCCAGGGGCTGCACAAGCCATCAACCTGAGCGGCCCTTTACAGGCCTCACATTTTCCTCTCTCCCGCCCGGAAAAACTGGGCAGCGTCTCTGTCCCTGAAGGGCCTCTGAGGCTGGACAGATGGAGGGTCAGGCGGGGAAGTCCTCCAGCTCTGCCTTCCAGGCCCTCTGCTGGGAGCCTTCCCCGCCTGGCAGGAGACTGCTTCCCACCGGGCTCCAGCAGACCGCTGCCCAGCTGCCCGGCCGAGCGTGCTGGTGGGGTCAGGCCCAGTCCCAGCCATTCCCAGACCTCCACTTGTGCCGAGGACCCAAATCCTGCCCGTGCTCCACGACCAGGGCCCACTCCAAAACACCGGAGCTGGGCAGGACCCTGAGAGGCAGGGAGGCAGCCAGAGAGAAGGTGGCCCTCCCCCACAGCTGCCCCCCTCCTGATCTCTGGCCCCTGCACATGGCCTCACACAGCACCTGGAGTGAAGGCAGCTGACCTTCGCCACCCCTGGACACAGGGGACTTTGAGACGGTAGCCTGCAGCCCGCAGGGTCGGCCCTCAGAACCGCGCCGGGGTTTCAGCCCGTCGGTCACGGAGACGCACCACGGCAGTCTCAGAGGTCCACTCACACCTGGAGGCCCCTCACAGCCAGTCTGCTGTGTCCAGCGTCTCCAGAAGGATGGTGCCCAGGGACAGGAGCACCCCTCCGTGGGTCCTGAGCAACGACAGGCCCTGGGCACTGACCCCCGCCCTGTTCTGCTGCTTTCCGTCCCAGGGGCCCTCCACGCCCTGGGTGCCTCTTCAACCTCCAAGCCTACAGGACCTGTCCCCACCTGGGGCAGCCTTGGGGACGTGTCTGGGGATTTTCTGCTGTTCAAAGGCACACCCTGACACCAGGCGGCCATAGTGCAGGCAGAGAGCCCAGTGGAGGCCCCCTCAGGAGGCCCATCCTCCTGCTGCATGGAGCCTCTGCTCCCAGGCCTGCTGGGACCAGCCTGTACCTGGCCTCCACATCACCCCTCGAGCTGTGGACACAGTGCCATGGCTGGCCTTCCTACCACCCTGTGAGATGTGTCCCTACCCAGCTAGATCCTGGCTAAGCCACAGTGGCCCGACTCCCCCCACACAAGGTGGTCTGAGGACATGGAGGCCACAGGATGCCAGGGAACAGGCGAACCTGGGCAGGCAGGGCCACAGGGGAGCGGATGGGGCAACCTGAAGGGTTGACTGGAGGTGGGGGAGGGCAGGCAGGGCAGCCCACAGCCTGCAGGCCTGGGCCTCTGCAGGACAGGACACCCAGGGGCCACTTGCTCTGGGACGTCCAGGGACAAGGGGGGAATCTGCCCCACGACCCCACCACCACCTTCAACATGGCCCTGCCTCAAGCGAGCAACAGAAAAGGCCCTGAAATGTCTAGGGTTCTACAGTGAACAACGGAAACCTCAGCTGACCCGAGGAGCCGCTCCGTGCGTGGGCCTTACCTGGGATGTTGTGCCGCGAGGGGCCTGGGAGCCAGGGTAGCAGCAGCAGGACCAGCAGGTAGACCAGGGAGAGGGCGCTGATGCGCAGCAGGGCAGCTGGAGGGAGACAGGCAGTCAGCATGTGTGCACCCTGGCCAAGCCCTGCCCCCAGGCTGTGCGCACCTCACAGGCACCTCCCCCAACCGTGTCCACGTCCGTGTGACCATGCCCGCTGCCGCACAGGCGGCACCCTGAGGGCGGGCACCAAGGCCCTGATCAGTTTTCCTGGCTTCCTGCTTTTCCTCCTCCTTAAAGCTGTATCCTTGAAATCTGCCACGGTGCCACTGAGTTCCAACCCCCCGTGGGGGCTACTGGGACCCGGCATGGCTCGGGCCCCTCCTGCCCACCCAGCGCCTGCTGACCAACCCACCTTCCACCGTCACCGCCCTGCCTTTTCCAGGCCACTGACCGGAACCACAGTGTGGAGCCTGGCTCCCCACTGCTCTGCCCAAGGGTGCCCGTGCTGCTGCCCACAGCAGTACCCAGCTTCCCCGATGCCTGTGCGGCCCCCACACCATCCTGACGATGTCTGCCTGGTTGGAAGAGGGCTGGACGCCAGAGGCAGGAGGCCTGCCACTCACGAGCCGAGCCAGTCTGCTCCCAGGAATGAGGAGATGGGACTTAGCACCAGGGGAGTGGGGGCCACCAGCAAAGGCTGGGGTACAGCGGGCAGGCCAGGCCTGGAGTGGCCCCAGGCATCCCAAGCTGGCCCCAGCAGCAATGACCACCCACAACGCCCCAGGACCACAGCCACCTCCCTGCTCCTAGAAACGGACCATGCTGACCTCAGCCTGACCCACCCCAGGCCAGAGAGACGCAGGTGCCACCATGCATCACGAGTCCCACTCCCCTCTAGGACAACCCTCAGCAGAGGTGACACCAGTCCCTTGCTGTCCCACCAAGAGGGACAGGATCGAAGCCTGAACCAGAGCAGCCTCCTCAGGGGCCACCCTCCACGGTCCATTCTCAGTCCCCAAGACCCCAGGTGTGAGGACCAGGAGCCCACGGTGGCTAAGCTGGTGTAGATGGCGGCCACTCGCCTGATGTCAGAGATGAGCTGGCCACAAAGATGGTTCCCTCCGGAGGCAGGGGACAGCAGGGGGTGGCCACTGCTTTCCCATCAGAAGGGCAGAGCCACTGGACCAGCCTCGGCCTGTGGAGCACCTCTGGCTCAGGGCTCCACCCCACCCCAAGCCGCCCAGGCTTGGGGTCCTACACAGAAAAGGCCCCCTTCCCCAGGGCCTCGGGGGGATACACACGCCCAACCCCACAAGACCTCTGAGGGACAGAGGGTCCTGGCTGGACGGCGCCTCCTTCCCTCTGCACTGCAGGGTCCCTGGAGTCGGGCACAGCCTCYTCCCCCTCCTCCAGCAACAGCCACGGGCCCAGCTCCCTGAACTTGGAGTTTCCGACAATTAGACACTTTCATCAAGAGTCCATCTGATCTGGCCCAGAGGCAGGAGGAAATGACTTACGTTCAGCCCTGGGCCTTCCCTGACTACCCGTGCCAGTCCACGCAGGCAACGTTCCCGTGTACCAGCCTGTGGGAGCTTCTCCAGCCGGGGGACGCCCACCCACCAACATATCCACCCACCAACATATCCACCCACCTGTCCACCCTCCCCAGCGACTTTCTCCTGAGACAGATGCTGCAAGTCCTGCCCCTGAGGGGCCCATGGTCTGATCGGCCAGGAGTGACGGACCCCGAGCTGGTCCACGTGCCCCAGTACTGGTGACCCAAGCCAGCAGCAGGGGCCCAGCAGGGTGTGGCATAGGGAGGATCCAGGAAGCGGGGCAGCCGGGGAGCGGGGCCAGCGTGTCTCCCTATGCTGCCCAGCCCACTTACTAAATGCCCCCGAAGCAGTGGGCAGGGAGGGGTTAAGGCTGAAGGGGGCCCTGGAGCTGGGCACCGACCCGGGCACTACGGTGGGTAAGATGGGGATTTAACCAAGACAACAAATAGCCCCTGAAACCAGAAAAGGGTTTCAGGAACCAGGCCGAGCTGTGGCGGGCAGGGCTGGTCCCAGGGTGGTCTGCTGCCAAGGACAGAGGGCAAGATGGGGAGGGGGAGCTGGGGGCCGGGCCGCCACACCCGCTCCCAGTCCCTCAGCTCCATCTGCCAAGAGCAGGAGACTGGAGCTGAGGAGTGGGGGACACTTGGAAGGCCAGGGGGTGCTGCCCCACCCTGGGACCCCTCCCTCCCTCAGCACAGGCCGCAGTGGCAGCTTAGTCACACCAGGTTGTGACGTCCTCCCCGTACAGAGAAGGACACTGAGGCTCAGGGTGCCCAGCTGACCTCCAGCTTTCTGGGGCCCAGGGGTGTCTCCCAGCACAGCCTACCTGGCCCTGCGGCACGTGCCTGGCCAGCCTCCCCGACTCCATCTTCCGCCATTAGCCCTGCCAGGAAGCTGGCATCAGGCACGCCGTGGCTCCTGGACAGCTTGGGACACCCGCCTGGGAGCCCTGAGCAGGGAAGGCCAAGCACGCTGGCTCCAGCCCCCGGTGGGGGACAGAGAGGGGCCCTGGGAGGACATTTCCAGCCTGTCCTCCCTCAGCCGTATGGCCTCAGGGTCCAGCACAGCAGGGTGGCCGCGGGCCAGCAGGAGCCAGGGCGCCCCCTCCCCACTGTTGAGGCGAGGAAACGGCTCTGGGGGCGGGCACGGGGAGAGCACAGGCCGCTGGCTGTGACCCAGGCTGCCCTAATGCATCCGCGTGACTGCTGCCTTGCTCTTGCCCTTGGCGCTGGCTGCAGGGTGGGAGCACTCAGGGGTCCCCACCAGGGCGGGCGGGGGTCTGGCAGCTCCCGCCTGCCCATCAGGGCCCCACGGGAACAGGCCTTTCCTGAACCAGCACCAGGGGGCTGGGGGCCCCTCAGGGACCTCCGAAGGCCCGAGCCAGCCTCCACGCACAGATCCCCACCAAGGCCAGAAACAGGCTGCTCAGCTGGGGCTGGGTCAGGAAGGGAAGAGCTGGGCTGCAAGCCCCTCCCAGGACTTCCTGCCCACTCCCACTGCCCACAGAAGACAGGGCCTGCAGAGGGCCCCAGACACCCAGGACCCTGGCCAGGGTGCAGTTGCTGAGACCTGTCCCCCGGGGCTGGCACTGGCCCAGGCCCCAGCAGGGGACAAAAGAACCCACATCCTGGCTCATCAGTGCCCACAGGAGCTTGAGCAAGACACCTGCCCTGAGCCTCAGGCTCCTCCATYGTGGACAGGCCAGGCAGGACAGGGCTGGAGGGAGGTGTGCTTGCAGGGGCCTCTGCAGCCAGTGCAGGACGGGTGGCAGACGTGTGCAGAGAGGAGCAGAGGCTGGGGCAGCTGCAGGTGGCCCAAGCTCCTGGGCACCCCAGGCCAGGAGGTAGCTGCTGCTGAGCCGCCCTGGGGGGAGCTTTGTGAGCAGGGGACCAGGCGAAGGCCCTGGCATGACAGAGTAGAGCCAGGCCAGGGCTGGGCTCCTCCAGTCCCTACTGCAGGGCAGAGCCGCTGCCGGGCAGGCCTGGACTCAGGCAGAGCCCCCCAGGCGACCAGAGATTTCACAAACAGGAACTAGGGGCAAGGACGGCTGTGGAGGTCAGGAGGCCAGACCTGGAGCCCAGGGGTGCACAGTCCTGGGCCACTTCTCCCCCTGGTCCGGCTGCAGGGGCAGGTCCTGAGGCTGGGCTGGCAGAAGCAGGGGTGATCTGACCGTCAGGTCCAGGAGGGGGGGCGGGGGTCTTTGCCAGGAAAGACACATCATGTGGGGAAAAGGGGCCACGGCCACTAGACAGGCAGCCCGAGTCCTCTTCCTGTGAGTGGGCAGCCATGGTCTGCCCCATGTCACCAGCCACAGGAGGGACATGCAGGTGGCCACACTGGGTCCCTGGAAGCAGGCCCTTGCCAGGTGTTTGAAGCCCTGGGTTTGGTCCTGGCACCAAAATGGGGGTGTCCTGTGGTCAAGACCTGGTGGTTCCAGTCAGTTCTGGGGGGTGGACCTGGGGCGGGGCCAGGCAGAGCAGTGACCATGCTGCCCACTCCTGGGGGGACTGCACTGCCTGTGTGCCTTCCACAGGCAGGCAGACCAAGCCCAGGTGCCCGTGAAGAGACCCGTTTCCAGTCCGAGCAGGGCCCTGCTCCAGCAGGCACCCGGCCGCAGGAGGGGCCTGGCCAGGCACCCTGGCCACCCTCGTGCCTCTGCTGGGGAGGAAGGGGCAGGGCTGGACCACTGGGCCACAGTGGCGAGCAGAGCGCCTCATCCAGGAGGGAACTCGCCAGGCCCCTCACTCCTCAGCCTTGTGTCCATAACACAGTGGCCAGTGCTGCCTTCCTCCTGCAAAAGATGGCCGGAAAGGAACTGATCCCACAGCTCCCAGAGCAGATCCAACTGGTGGTCTGGTTCCGAGGCCCCACTCTGGGCCTCTTGTCTGCCCAACCTGTGGCCTTCTGCTCTCCAGCCCGCCAGTGTCCTGCCGTTCCAAGCCTGCCTGGGCGGTGCCTTGGCCTGGGACCACCTCTGTTCCCACCAGAGCCAAGTGAGGGACTCCTGCCCCCCAGATGCCCACAGCAGCTCACATGACCCCCTTCTCCTCTGGCCCGAAGACGCACAGCCCACACTGCCGCCTGAGGGTCCTTAGAAAATGTGGCCATGGAGTGATGGGACAGAGCAGGCAGACCTGGCACCCCAAGCCACAGCTCAGGAACGGCCCCCATGTCCCCCAGCAGAGTTTGGGCAGTGCCACATGCATTGGGACCCAGCGTGTGCCCAGACCTGCTCTGCAGACGGCCATGACTCATGTCCAGTCCCTCATGCCTCTTCTCCAGAGAAAAACCCAACCTCTGCTTGGCCACTGAGAGTCACACTGTCATCTTCACCAGGGCCCAACACACCCGGTTGGGCAACAGGCAGCCACCTCCAGGGTGCGAGGGTGCGGTGCAAGCCACAGAGCAGAGCACCCACTGTGGTCCCTGCTGTAGGAAAGCCACCGCAGCCCGGGCCTCGGTCCTGCACACGCGCGTGCACACCCACACTGGACGGGCTGGGCGGGACTCTGCCGAGCTCGGGGAGGGCCTGAGTCCCACAGG